TTCAGTCACACGTTGACCGGTGCGAGTCGATAACGAATCCAACAAGACACACAAAAACAGAATTTACGAAAAACTCGAAAACAAAAAAAAACGCAATTCACAACAAATTATTTTCGGTTTGTGTAAACAACGTAAACGCGACGCGGTGGTTGTTATTGTTATTCTAGTTGTTGTTGTGTGTGCAGCGATGCATTTAAATGTGTATTTAGTTGTTGCTTAAGGAAATCCACACACACACACACACACGCACGCACGCACACACACATACAGCTAGCTTCCGTTGTGCACCAATTGCGGGCGCGCCCCCCCGTCTGCGCTGCCTTCTGCTTCGTTTCTGTTTACTGTAAATGTTTGGCAACATTTGTTGTACCAAAAGCCGAAGCCCAAATATCCGAAGCCCTAACCGAAACGAGGTCAATGCATTTCTAATTGCTGATAACGAAAAGTGCACAAAAACTAACGAATAAAGTGAGTGAAAGAGAGAGACAGCATAATGTTAAGTTCAAAGTTAAGTGGAGCCCCACCCCCCTCCTTAACTGTCGGCCAATCGCCCCCTTTAAAAATCATAAATAAGTAAATAAGAAAAAATTTTCCACTTGAGCGAGCGCAACTGAAATGCATTTATTAACTGCCGCCGGGCTGCATCTGTTATTGTATCTGTATCTCAGCCAGTGCGCTGTATCTGTATCTGAAGACCATAATTGCATGCCATAAAAACTTCAGAGTCGCGTCTTATCAGTGGCAACTCTGGCTGTGGCACTGGCTCTGGCTGCTGCTGCTTGCTGCTCTAGCAGCATTTTTTTAATCAGACTTCCACTTGAACTATTTCTGTTTTCACTTATTGAAGTTTATTGGATTAGCGTGCATTAAACTTGGCTAGCTGGAATTTACGGGCTTTGTAACGGGCAGGTGAGTGCCACAGATGTTGGCAACAATGTTGCCCCGGCTATTGCACTTGGCCATGACAACATGTTGTCTTTGTGGATTTACAATGCACCCACACACTCGCACACACACACACATGTTGCCAGTGTGTTTTTGTCAGGGGGCATTGACTCTTTTAGTACACCCTATAAATGTGTCACTGGAAATCGCTGCACCCGCATGCAGCATGCCACATGCCACATGGGAACACCCTTCTTTTCCACAATCACAGCTTGCGAACCGCGCTCTGTTTAAACAAAAGGTTCAATTGAAATTGAAAACCAACCAAAATACATTTATTAAACAAGGGAAAGAACAAGAAGAGGGCGCGAATATTTTTGAATTAAGCAAATTTAGAGATTGAAGACAGTTTCATTCATGTTCGTCATTCGCTATAAACGCTGATAAGCCCACTAAATGATTCGCATGGCAATAACTTTTGTTTCGAAAAACATGAATCATGCCAACTGCATGCATATGATATGATATGTGGTTATAGCATAATAAACTGCACTGCGATTGAACGCAGTGTCGAAAGTTGACAGAGGCGAGAGATGAGTAACCTTTAACGTCCAGAGACATTCCCTACTTTATCGACTTAGTCAACTTTACAAAGTGTGCCAAAGCTCTTGCTCTATTTAGGATCAATAATAATAATAATAATTCTGTTACGGGATCGCATTAGATATTGCAACTTTCACCTGCTTACCTGGGCTTAGCTTTGTAAAGAATAGCTGGAGCTTAAGATTTGTGTGCTTGGTTTTGTTTGAAGGAAGGCGTTATATGATATTGAGCACAAGTTCGAGTCGCTGCCAACCGCAGGGCAGGTAAACAAACACGCCAGACATTCAGATATGTTTACATATATTTACCTGTGTGTATGAGTGTTTATTTATAAACCCACATGTTGATCCATAGTTCGTTTAGCCACAGTACGTGACCGCAAAATTTCATACACAATTTCAATAAGCAACGACCTAACAGTAAAGAGACTTTAATAAAACCTTTGCGAACCCATGAATATATTTAAGAACTACCTTAAAAATAAGCTTTAGGCATATTGTTCACTCTAAAGAAGGTAAACGCAGAACAAAGACTTCAGGTTCCATCCCCAACAGCGAAAGTTATATGGTTCCATAAAATAAAAACAATTGGAACCAGCAAAAAGGAGGTTGTCGGTTCAAATTTTAAGATATCTTTGCGAATTCATGATATCCAACTGTCAAACCTAATGCTAAATTGCTCTGCATAAGTATATAGACAGCATAAAACAAATTAAGAAAATAGAACCTATAAAAAAGAAGTTGCTGGTTCGAACTTCAGGATATCTTGGCACATTCATGTTATCTAAATGTCAAACCCATTGCTAAATTGCTATAGACAGCTGGCAATATCTTTGAGTTATTGAGATATAGTGTACTTGAGCCTGATTGGTTTGTTCCATGGCAGGCAATTAGTATTGATCTGTTAGATCTATGAATAACTATTAATTGAACTGGCGGCGGTGTCATAAATATGCAATATCATAGAATCGATCGACATTTGACTAGAACCATGTATAACTAAAGATATTATGCGGGCGTTGACTGCCGCCGACTGTGAATTGGGTCAATAGTTGTTCTCGTCGTCGCTGACGTTCTTCTCTTTGTTGTTGCTATCGTTGTGAACTATTTTGCAAATCAAATTGTGCTTAAAAGGGAGGACAGATAAAGAATGGAGCTAAACAGCTATTCAGCTCTAGAGCTATAAAGCTGCAGAGTTCAATGCACGACAGCTGTAAATGGCTGCAAAGATTTATTTGATTGCCAGCTCTTTGATTTTACGTGGCTCAAATCATTTTTTGGGTACTGCCAATTCTGCCAGACTGTAGACTGTTTTTTTTAAGGCTTGTCTTCAGCCAGCACTGACAGCTTCAATGGAACTGCACTGCCCACAAGCTGCGCATAATAATAACCCTGAAAGTTTACTGACTTCCGTTCGCCTGGAGGAGAAGACACAACAAAGCATCTGAGTATTCGAATCGTAGCCAAGCAAAGCTGCCAGGCTGTAGGCAGCAGGCAGCAGGCAGTAGGCAGTGCCAGTGGCACTTGGCTACAAAGAATGCCAGGCAGTTTTCTGGCCAGATAAAAATCTCTGGACACACACACCACAACACACCTACAGGAGGACGCGTGTCCGTGTGTAGGTGGCGCTAACTGCAGTCAAAGCAGGAGCAGAAGCCGAAGGCGTTCTCTTCGTTAAGGCAACTTGTAGGCAATGTTGTTGCTGTTGTGTCTTTTGTGTCGTCTGCAATTTGTTGTAGTTGGTAAGGTGCAACCAGCAACTGGCAACTGGCGACCGGCAACTGGCAACCGGCAACTTGCAACTGGCGTGTTAACAACCGTTGCTACGGTTTGGCGAACGGTGTTAACTGAAATGTTGCCACTCGTACATTGCGACAGCTTCAACTGCCATGACATGACAGCAGAAAACTCCATGACAATGTTGCCCTCAGCTGCCGCCTTCCCTTACACCTGCCACTACGCTTGGCCCTCACTAGCTGTGTATTTATCTTAATTAGACGGACTCGAGACCGTTCGTCGCAACTGAAAGTCAAGGCTTGAGATTTTCAGTCCCAATGCACACATGTGTGCATGCCACTATCTTAAGTTAACTGAGTAGCCAGCACATCTGTCTAGATATATTAGTCCAAAGTAAATCATTGCAATAGCTAAAACAATTTAATTAAGAGGTTATTAATTGATAAATAGTTAATTGAAACTTGCATTTACTATTTCTTATATCTTTATTAATTAATTTATTATTTAAATTAATTTTATTTTAGTCTGCCATTTCCTTATTCGTAAATAATCGATAAATATTTCTTGATATGCAATCGAAAATCTTTAAGCATTTATTCTCCATTTATCAAGCGATATCTAAGCTATGGCTATCAATATTTTCGGCGCTTTTTTTTTTACTTAATCTGGCAGACAAATGTCTGGGCCTGGTCTGCTCCTATTGCCTGTTGGAAGAGCTTGGAGCTAGCTGTAAATGCCTATCGCTTGCATTCCAATGCACAATTTACCGTCTCTTAACGTTTTTTCTCTCTATTTTTATAAGGTTTTTTTTTGGCGTTTTGCTTGTCGCTTTTCATTTTGTCTGCGCCGGCGAGTGATTTTTTTTTTTTTGCCAGTCCCCGACATAATTTACGTGATCATTGCGCGTCGATAACAAGAAATTATCGACGCGCTTGCGCACGAGTTCGACGACGACGACGAGGACGGCGTCGTCGCGGCCACCGACGCATTGGCAATCGATGTCGACGTCGATGTCGATGGCGTCCAATCGTCGATAGCAGTAAAATGCTTGGCTTGTCGTTAGCTGCGTTTTTTCTCTGTGTACTTTATAGAATACCCTGTAATCGGAGCGGTGTGAAATGGGTGGCATATGCTTGTAATGGAATGTATTCAAAAGAAAATTGTGGGAAAGGAAGAAGTTATATGTAAGGGTATGAAAGGTTATTCACATGTTTATGCTTTTGATCTGTAAGAACTTCAGTCAGAGCTAGAGAGACTATGAGAAGTAATTGGAGAAGAGAGGGTATATGGAGAATTGTTTTCATTTTTGGCTTGCGGTACCTTTAATCACAAGTAGAAGAACGACGAGAATATGTAATTGGAAAAGCATGGATATATAGGGATATGTATACATTTGTGTAGTCTGTGGGATCTTCAGTTAGAATTAAAGGGTCTACAAAAGTAACATCTACATATTATTTACAAATGTTTCTGGTTAAAACTATGTTTATGAATTATTAATGAAATATAATATGTATATAATGGTCAGATATTGCTTTCACTACACCCAGAAGTTCTTCAAATGTAACTAGTTGATTATAACACATTTTGTCTTCCGCTTGTACAGGGTATCTGGCTAGTCGTGTTTTCTACTCTGGCGCATTCTTAGCTCTGTGTGTTTTTTTCTTGTTGCTTCGTTTCTAATTGTTGCGCGCGTTTGTGAAATTTATTGCGTTTCGCTTAATTTTAGTTGTTTTTAGTTTTATTTTTATTTATTTTTTTTATATATATTTTTTTTTTTGCTCGGGCTACGTAACGCCATGAACTGCAGTTGGGGCTTTGCAGCTTACAACTTCATTTGGCCTGGTTGGTGGGTTTTTGGCCTGGTTGCTCGATTTGGTAGCTGCGATATGGCGACGCGAAAAGCGAAATTCATTTTTATGTTAATGGCTTTTGGCGCTGGCCAGCGACACGCGCGTCTCGTGAAAGGAAAAGCGCGCGGTACGTGCATTTGCGTTTTCTTTCCTTCAATATTTTGTTGCTCTTTTCGGTTAAAGGTTTTCATTTAACAGTTAAAAGTCGCAACGCCCCCGCTTATAGCACTTCCTGCTGGCGCATTGTTGTCTCATGACATTCAGCCAGAATAAGAACAAGAGCAAAAACAGCTGTGTTTGGACTAAAGTACGCTGAACCACGCGGCCTGAGAATTATGACAGAGCCTCTGACAGCGTACCCAACCGAACCCCGAAAACAAGCTGCCTGGCATTGATGATGATGGTCTGTCGAAGTCTCCGGTCGGGACTCTGAGTCATTTTTGCATGGACTTTATAAGCATGCATCATATTTAATCTGTGGCCGCCGCCGACTCCTGCCTCGAGCGTGTGAATATAAACGACAAATATTGTGCAGTAAATTGATATCTTGTTAATCTTGTTGTTGTTATTGTTTTTGTTAATGTTGTTGCTGCTCTTGTTTGTTGTTGCTGCCTGTCTGCAGCGATAAACATCCGCACAATTTTTGGAATCGAATCTGCTGAGAAATTGCCAACTCTGCGTTTTCAACAGGAAGCTACCAAGAACATGTTTATACACATCTTGAGAGATGGGCATAATATATATATATATATATGTATATATACATGATTGAGGAGTTGAAGATTTATTGGTTCCGCCTACAGACCTTAAGGGCTCCCAAGTAAATATTTAGCGCATGTCGGGCTTGCGAAATATTTTTATAAAGTTGAGAGTTCAATAAAGTAAAAGATTTAGGTGAAAAGTTTAAGAAGGTCTCCGGAATTGAATATAAATATATATCATGCTGTGGGACTTTAGTGGAATAATGAAAGCAAGCTTCAAATCCTAAAAACTAGGCTTAACTTGAAACGAATAATGTATCTAAAATATTTTCCTGCAGTAGATTTATTTTTATTAATTACTTATAAAAATGTTATATGCTAATTATCTTTCGCTCAGTGTACATAAATTATTAATTATATCAAAAAATGTGCCTTCAAATTTATGGCTGGGGCTTTGATTGTCGTACTTCGCCTGTAATTCCCATAAAGTTCATGCCCTGATATCAACACAAGCATTGCGCAACATTTAAACTTGGCAGAAATGAAAAGAAAAAATATATAAATTGAACCAGTTCCGTAATCCCTGATTTCGGTATCAGGTATTTCAGCAACTCGATTGCATTTTCAATGCCAACAAAATTAAATGCAGCTTGCGAAAACTTGGCGTGGCACCTGCAACATTGACAACAACAACTGCAATAACTGCAATAACTGCAACAACAGCCTTATCACGAATTGGTGGGCGTGGCTGGCAAGTGCGCGCTAATGGCCTGGCAATAACAACAACTAATGACTAAATTTCACATGCCACAACCAAAAAAACCAGCAACTGTTGCTGTTGTTGTTGTTGTTGTTGCTGCTGGCGGGTAGGAAGCAAACGTTAATTTAATTTAATCACGTTTTCTTTAGCTGCTGCGACAAACAATGCTGCGGCTACGGCAACACGTTGCCAGTTCAAAGGTTAAGTGAGTGAGCGCATTTGACTGGAGGCGACACACCCCAAAAATGGGCAACATTTGCCACAACACCGGGGCACGGGGCGTATCAGTTGAACGCATCAGCAACAGTTGTTGTTGTTGTTTTCGCTGTTGTTGCAGGTTGCAGGTTGCAGTTTGCTCGTGGCATAAACGCCAATTATGTGCAACATGCATGTGTGTGCCGTGCCACAGAGAGATAGAGAGAGAGACCAGAGCGTGGCATGTTTTTGGCAATTTTTCATTTCCTGGCCAGGAAAAGACTTTGAAACTGGCGGAAAAACTAGCCGAGCTCAGCTTGTGTGCAGGTTGCCCGAGTGGGTGAGTGCCCGGGCAGATGCTAGTGCGCCGATAAGGCGTGCCAAATGTGCAACAAGCGTGCCCCGGCTGGCCAAGCGTCAGGTGTGTTCAACGGGGGGAGGGCTCAGGTGGTTGCCAGCGAGTTACGCGAGCCGAGCCTGTTGCATGCAGCCTTGGCAGCCAGCCTTGGTCACATTAGAATGACAGCAGCCGCAGCCATTGTCATTTCTCATGCAGCGGCAACAAAAACTGGTTGCTTGCAACAGCCGCTGTGGCATGCAAATTGCCGTAAATTGAATTTGTCTGATTACGTTTGCGCCCGGCGCGGTGCAATAATCGATTGTCTCTCTGCCTAGCATCAATATTTGCTTTACAACAGCCACAGGATGCGGTCGAGGCAGTAGAAGAAGTTGAAAAATAAAAATGAAAAATTGTGCCAACTGCATGGCAGACAGCCGAACAGACAGAACGACAAACAGACAGCCAGACGGACGGACAGACAGACAGTCAGATAAATGATTGCATTCGAATTGCATTTCGATGATTGCAAAATTGCGTTCCGTTTGGGGGCCACGCAGCGAAAATTATGAGCATCTTGTGGCCAGAGCAATGGAAATGCTTAATGGAGATTATAGAGCACAGCAAGGGCAAACGAGAGAGAGAGAGAGAGGGAGAGGGTGATGCTGCCACAAGGATAGCCATCAGTCTGTAGACTTAAGCCTGTGCATAACTACATTATTCAATGGAAACAATTTTACTATCCACAGCTACAGCTGGAACTTGCCTTGAAAAGAAAACCATTAAGAAGAACTTCAATTAGGCAAAAATGCAGAAAAATCAATCAGAAAAACAATATCTTATACGTGTAGATAAATATATTTAAATGTTAGTTATTTTATTTAATAGTCAAGAAATTCAAATTGTTTTTGCGGCTTTAACTCCATTATTTTATAAAAAGCACATTAAAGCTCGCGTTAAGCCTTGCAACAAAAGCTTAAACCATTCAAGCATAGAATATTAACAAAAGCTTGTTTAACACATTTCAAAATTTAATAAGCAACTGATAAGCTCTCAAAAGTTGACGTGTTAGTACGATATGCCAGATTTTAAAGAGCTTTTAGAGCAACTTTTAAGCTCTAAATATACGCAAATATGTGCTTTTACCCCCTAAAATGTTTATACGAACATCGCAAGCTTCTGCAGAGCTTTAAGAGCAGCTTAAAAGCTAAACAAATACAATTGAATCCCCTGTCAAAAGCTTATCAAAGGCTGTGTATAGCCACAGCTGATTAAATTGAGTTTATCGAAGACTTGTTGCGCTGGGGAAAAAAAGCTGCTGCACGTTTTTCTAGTTTTTCAGCTAATTGCATAAAATTTGCATATGCCAAATGAAGTTTTTGGGCTGAATTCAATTAAATGCGGCACAAGGAATCCGATGCTAGCGTGTTGCATGACAGCCACGAAACGGAAAAAAAAAATACTTGTGCAACAAAAAAAAAAAGGAGAGAAATAGAAAAAAACTCAATTTAATTAGATTTGGCCAAACGTGCTAAGGTGGCCGACCCGGGGCCAGGCAAATGCTATTTGGTCTAGAATTTCCAGGTCAGCCCAGAGCTGGCTGGGCATTTACATAAATGAGGCATGTGTTAGGTACTGTGCCACATGGCGTTGATAGGTTGCCACATGGCACAGCCCAAATAGAAATGGCTGGCTGGCAAGAATGCAATCATTAAGCTGGAAATGCTCTTGCGGCATGTCAACATAAGCATTTGCCATAAATCAAATGACGGCCAAAAGCATTAATGCCAACAAAACCCTGGGCAATGCCAATACCAGACCTGGGCCAGGGCTGGCCTGGCAGCTAGGCAGCTATTCAGGCAATGCCTCAATTTGTTGTACAGCCGGGCCGGGACGCGCCGGGCCAAAAGAATGTCGCAATCAAAATTTCAACATCGTGCTTGCTGCTGCGGCCTGAGAAGATCAGCAGAACAGACATATAGACCCAGGCGCAGCCAAAGAACCTGAACCAATGCGCCCATGGAACTATATTTAGATCCAGTCGATTGCCGCTCGATTGAGCCAAATGTTGCTGCTGTTCTTGTTGCTGCTGCTGCTGCTTCTGCTGTTGCAATGCGCGACCCAAAAAGCAACAGCAACATTAACAACAGCATCAGGAACTCCATAAAAAGCATCTGCTACAGAGGTCGTCAGAACATTTTTGAATATGTTTCTAATTGGCGCACATTATTGTTGATCTTCAGATTGTTGGGATCTCTATTATAATGATCCAAATTGCTGGCAATTTGTTTAGCTCGATTGCATTCCACAGATTCGACTGGCTGCTTTCTCGTCGCCTGCTTGAATAAAGTATTAAATTACCATAAATTAATATTGTCCACAGGCGTTTAATTAGAGAGCCAGACAATGGGCATATAAAAAAAGCAAAAGGGCAACTCTGACACTAAAGTTGACGCCAACAAAAATGTGCACGTGTACAGTGGAGCAAAATTAATCAAAAACTAGAAAGAATCCACAACTTGCTGTTGGGTAATCATAAGCTTTCTCTCAAGGAGCTTTAAGCCTAAGGTGGAATTAATTAAATTATTGTGCACATAGCATTTATAAAATCAAAAACTGTTTATTGCATAATATGCTCTAAAGCTTTTCTTAATAAGCAAGAAAATTTGAGTACAATTTTTTTCAAGTATAATCTTGTAAATCGAACGAAAAACAGAATCCTCAAACAACATGCAAACCTTTTCCTTATTCGATATACCAAAGCTTTCATGTGCTTTCAAAGCTGCTACTTTTAATGTTTTTTTTTTTGCTTTTATAATGCCTCAAAACAAACTTATTTTTTCCTTATACATTTCTTATAATCATGTGACAGAAAACGCTTGAAGTTTGATTAATATGTCTTGAGCAATTCATTTAAGGCAGCTTAAAGCTCTTTCAAAACGTGTAATAATATTTAACTCTTAAAGCGCAGTATCAGTTTAAAGAGCTGCTCATTGGGATTAAATATCTGCTGCTTATTTCATTCAACTCGAATTACCGAGTGCCACTTTACTCCACTTCAGTTGACATTGAAGTTGCAGTTCTTCTTCCTCTGCTTCGCTTCTCCAATTCAGAATTCTGATTATGTGAGGCAGAGTCCAATTGAAAATGATGAATGTGTCGCGTGTTTTAATTTATATGCCCCACACATGGTCAGCAAGCGTGTGTGTGTATGTGTATGTGTGTGGCAATGTCAGGCTTGATGTAAATTGAGATATGCCCATTGTAATTCAATTTCTGTGAACCATGAGAAAATCGCGCCTTACATATATATTCTCACTTTTTTCCTATATCAAAGTGTGTTTTACCTGCCTCAAAGGTCAGGCCTTTTGACATGTTTTTAAGCTTGAAATAAATGTGACTAATGGCTAATGCTGCGTCTGTTTATTTTTTTCTTGGCTCTAATAAAGGTTATGCGTGTTGAAGATCAGCTACACTTGAAGAAAAAGTCGACTGGAAAGTAACACAAATTATTCAACTGCACAATTTGAATAGAATGTGATTGGCTTTTAGTTTAAGCTTCAGCGCATTTTTATGTTTGCTTTAAGCAATTTATTTGTACTAGAATTTATTCTCTCAGTGCATGGCAATAATGTTGCTGCAGCAAAGTTGCGCATCATGCTGCGGGCTGCAACATTCTGCGCATGTGCAACCAATTATTAATTGCATATGAATTATGCGGCGCAGTTGCCCTTGTTGTCGTTGTTGTTGTTGTTCTTGTTGTTGGTTGCATTCCTGGGCTGAGTCAGCATTTTGTTGGCTTTGTTGCCTTTGTGGCGCTCACTGCGACCGACTGGCGCCGACGTCGACAGAGGCGTCAACGGCGTGTGCCTGCCACAATATTCTGTGTGATGTGCGCTTGTGTGGGTGGCTCTCTTGGCTTGGCTGGGGCTTAGAATTCATATGCAGCTTGCAACATTGTCTCGCCCCCTTTTTGCTTATTAAATTACAAAACAAACGGCCCACACATAAATAAGCTGCGGCCCCGGACCGGGCCCGGGCATTAGACGGAAATGCGCCGCATCGCATCCTGCCCAGAATCGAGAGCCCAGAGATCAGGCTTTATGAAAAATTCCTAGCGCTGCGGCGTCTATAATTAAGCGTGAAATGTTGCTGGCGTTACGCTGCATTCCAGCCAGCAGCCCTTTGGCTATAACCAGACAACAGGCAACTTGCAACGGGCAACTTGCAACAGGCAGCCTGCAACTTGCAACGTGAGCAGATTTTGTGGCCGAGTCACTTTTATGGTTGCCTCTCGATGTGCGCCTTGCGCCTTGCTCCTTGCACCTTTTGCTGCAACATTCATATTAATTGCAAGTGTCCGCACTTACTTTGCAACATGCTGCAATTAGAATGTTGAACGAACGTTGCCGTCGCCGATGCCTTCCTTTTTGCTTTTGTTATTCTCTTCTTTTTTTTTTTTTTGTTGACGGAAGTCAATTCAAATGATGCCCTTAAGGCTCCGCAGCGCCAAAGTTGAATGCACTGCACCAACAATTGTGACTGGACTAAAATTGATTTCTCATGTTTGTGCCGTTTTCTTCTCCTTCTTCTTGTTCGTAATATAAACAAGCAGCGGGCAAAGTAATTAAAATAAATTGCTAACAAATGCGCAGGCTACACAGCACACAGATAACTTGTTAACTGAATTAACTAACCGAATGGCTAGTTGCCTGCCTGCCTGCCTGGTGTTGGCCATCTAACGCCCTGATCCTGGGCCGTGTTTAAGAAATTTACCTTGACATTGGTTATACACAGCAAGAAAAAGAGGTGTCTGTTTATCAAATTGTTGACTATGTTTGTGCTTTGCAAATCCGTTAGAATTCAAGTCTATTTAGTATTATTATTAATTACATTTTGAAAAGGGACGAGGAAAGAAGCAACATCTTTTACCTGCGATAGACGAAGTTCTGTAAACATTAGATATCGACAGACGATATTTACGCCTACCGAAATCATCGACCATATCTTATAGCCTCACCTGACATATTTTTTTTATACATTTCTTGTATAATTCCCTATATATTGGCTATATTTTTTCTCAATGTAGCTCTCCAATACTTCAGTTAAACTTAAACTCGTGCCTTGGCCTGCCTTGTCGCCATGTTTGCCATCAAATTAAAGCGCTAAATTGTTGTGCGCCTCTTCTTCCTGTCTTTCATCACGTGCATTGGGCACTTTTGCCTAGACCCAAGTCCATGTCCAATGTCGATCCGATGCGATCCCCCCAGCTTCATTAACATATGGGGCGTTTGTTCAGCGCATTTTGGTGCTGTAAATTACTGATGGACAGCTGCCCGACTGGCCGGCCGCCCGTTTGCCCGGCTGGTTGCCTGGTTGTCCGGCTGGTTGCCTGGCTTGCCCATTGGCAGTGAAATTTTATGATGCCACATTTCCTTTTGGGTAGCTGCTGCTGCACCTTTTATGTGCTGTGCAACAAATGCGCGAACATTGCAGCGCGGCCTGTCCATCAATTAAAGATGCGGCCATACAAATGTGCCCATAATTTGATTGTTTTTCGCTACGGCGCAGCCAGTCGCTGACCCGCTTTTAATAGTCCCCCACCATACCCCCGGTCTCAAGCTGACTGCACAGCATTTGCCACTTGCCAATTACAGCGAACCGGGTCGACTCTGTGCCTAGCCATAGTTGGCCACAATGCCTGCCACATGCCGCCTTGTGCCTCCTGCTTGTTGCCTCCTGCCTGCTGCCTGCAGCTGCAACTCGGGTGGTCCGGCCAGACACTTGGACGAGCCGTTGAGGCTGATGGCCTTTAAGACGCGTTCTCTCCATGGCATTTAAGTGATCCGCACATCGCATCTTTGGCATATTTTCATTGGAAAATTGTGGCCACAGTGGGGCATTTGAACCACTTTGCGCTGCGGTGCTGCATTCACCTCGCGAAAGGCATTGACATTGGTCTCTCGGTTTCTGTCCTCGTCTCGGGTTCGCGTTTAATTCTCTCTGACGGCATCTCGTCATCATCCTCGTGACGTGGTGCTTATGGCATATGACGCCCGTTTTGGCCATTGAAAGCATTTCCACATTCCGCAAGCGGCCTTGCTTAATATGGCACAACTAAGTGCAGCATTTGGGGGCAGGTTTATCCATTCAGTTCTTATTAAGGCTGTGGCTGCTGCTGCTGCTGCTCAGCCCGGGGGGAATTATCAACTTCAAGAACTCACTAATTCATATCATTCTCAACTCTTTCTCTTTGCAGGTATGTTGTTGTTCCATTTTACTTTGCTGTTGATTAACTGCAAATGTTTGCCTAAACCCTTTATGCTATATGCTCAGGGTATGTGAATGAGGTGTATTTCAGAAGCTTATCAAAGTAGGAAGTGAAGCACAGATAAGTAGAACGTAAACAATTATATTTACAAATATGTTTTTCCATTAAAGCATTAAGAGTCCTTTAATTTATATATATTTTAAGCTAAAAGTAGAGCTTTTATAGAAAGATGAAGAACACTGCTGTGGACAGAATCGTGACATATCATCCACATCCTAAATTGAATCTCGGTTTTAGCTAGTGTTAGCTTTATATTTATCTTCTCGTCAGCTTTGTGCTCCTTTGAACCAAGTGTAAATTGGATGGTCGAATATACTCCCCAATTGGGCTCTGATATTTAATTAGATGCAATGCCATTTCTATCGATTGAATATTTCATTTGGTAAGCGCAGCGAGTGCTGCACGCTGCGCATTGCACTTGTCATAAAGTCTGAAAGCAACAACAATTTACACAGAAAGCAGAACAAATCAACTGTGCAGCTTGTTAACAAAGTTATCTTGTCTCGGCCGCGTGTCAACAGGCCGACTGCCAATGCAAATTTAACCAGCGGCTTATTTATAGAGCTCATTAACAGAGAAGGCCCACGACACGGCAAGAGGTACGAGCAGGGGCAGCGGCAGTTGCCGTTAGCCAGAAGTCAATGTCGGCATGTCCAGCGCGTATCTAGAGTCAATATTGTGCTCAGCTCTTCGTCTGGCTGTCTGTCTTGACAGTCTGTCGTGTCGTGTAATGCACCTTTAGACTTTTGGCCTTCAAAAGTGCAGCAGCAGCAGCAGCCGTTGTCGAGGCCAGGCCTGACAGACGTGATTGACTGACTGACTGACTGACTGACTGTGTTAGCTGTACTTGAGTCTGAATAAGATATAGTTGATATAGCGTCTGCCATGACACCCACATGGCCTGGACTTATGCAATGCCTGCTCCACATATTGGCCCTGGCCCAATCAATCAAAAATCGTTCGGTTTGGAGTTGGAGATTTTCTTTCAAGATATTGACAGACATTTCCTGCTCATTGTGGCTTTCGCTTTCCGCTCGATGCGCCCGTTTGCCGCCAGGTAGGAAAATTGATTTTAAAAGCGAACGCCTCAAATGAGCTACGTTTACAGACCGCAAGCCGCAGCCAAGTTCCAAGCCCTGTCCCGTCTCGCCTCTCGCGTGGGCGGCCCCGCTTGAGGTCAAAGCGCAGCTGCTTTGCACTTGGAAAAAAGTCGAAAACTGGCCATTTTCTTGCTAATTTACCGGCTAATTAAACGCTAGGCTGGGCGCTTACATAATGCCACGGATTTTGAATGTCTTTATCAGCGTTCGCATATCGTTTGCCCAAATGCGACACAATGCTGCTGCGGCTGCGGCTGCGGCTGCGTCTGCGGCTAACTTGTTGCATGTGTTGCATGCTGCAAATTTCACCCGCCTTAAAGAGCCCTTGACTTCGTACCGGTCATGGCCATATGTCTCGCAGGCTGTTCCCCATATTTGGCACCGCCAACCACAACTAACAAGCCGCAATGCCATTAGCATAAGGCCAATGGCCCGCGCCGCATTTGGCCAAAAATGCCCGCGAAATTAGTTGCCTGTAAAATGTTGCAGGCAGAGCCTGCATTTCATTTAAAATTCTTGAATACTTCGTTGTTTTCTTCATTTTTTTTTTTAGCATTTTGCATTTTTGCTTAGTTATTTTTAGCAATATTTTTCACACTTTTATGCATTTTTCACGCCATGTTTGCAATTCATCAGGCTAAAACTTGTTGTTGATGTTGCTGTTGTTAATATTGTTGTTATTTATGGCTCAGGGGCACGTTCTGTGCGTCTTGTTGCTGTTCCTGTTCAAATGCCAGAGTCACGCAGTTCAGTTCGTCATGTCAAAGTCAACGACGGCGGACGCTTCAGAGTTCTTGCTGTATACCCTGTAAGAGCAGCAGTGATGGGCTATGCTCAACTTGAAGTCAACAATAGTTGTGTGCTTAGTTTTGAGGGGGGGTTCAAAAACTGCATTTATATCGCAGTTTGACTGCCTGGCGAAACTTCCTATCTGTCTGCCAGTTGAAATGGAGCATAAGATAAAAAAGCGATATACCAAAACTCTAGCCACCACTTATCTAAAAGCGTACAGGGTATTTTGTTTGTTGATCAACTGGCGAACACTTTGACTGCGACTGCTTCTTTCGTATGCAGCTGACGACACTCGAGACTCCTTCGGGCTGGAGTGCAAAGTGCAAGCCGCTGGCAACAATATACAGCTGCTGCTGCTGCTGTTGCCTTCGCTCTTGTTGCAAGTGTCGCATGCCTCGAGTGGCCTCCTCGGAGCTGTTGCAGCTGGAGTCCGAGTCGGAGTAGGAGTTGGGTTAATTTAGAAGCAGCTGCCGCCTGGGCAACGTTTTATGAGATTTTAGCACTTTGTGTGCCGTGCGGCTGGGCAGGGCTTGCTTAATGGATTTCTGGCCATGGAATTTAGCACGTAGCTCTAGTGGAAAACTAATATGCTGGCTAGAGACAGGGACTGAAGGTGGCGGGCGGCCTCCAGGCCTGGACACATCGGGCTGCGTGACATTTATGGCTTCGTCTGGGCCAACTGGCAAATGCCGTCCATTTGTCCAGTTTCTTTAGTTTGTTCGGTTTGTTGTTTGTTCACGTGCAAATATGAACAAGATTTATAACGTTTTTGGACGCCACGACATTTTCCTAGATTTGTGTTTGCAGCCGCTTAAAAGGATTTCACTTTTTCGCTGGAATTCGCACAAAATTTGCCCAAGCATTGATTTTGCCCTGCTCCACAAAGCAAAAGCCGGGACCACGTTGCGTTGGCCCCCAACCCGAAGGCTGGGGTAGATCTCCCCTTTTTAGTGCCTGTGAACCATGCGATCTTGGTCGCAGCTAAAAATAAATGCGCACCAGCGCTGGGGGAGATGATCTTTGGAATTCACTTTTAATGCTTATGATCTTTGCCTGTCTCTGTGGCTCTCGATTTCCTATGCCCTTTCGCAATTGCTTTTAGCCTGGGCACTTTTTCGACTCGAAATACTTATTAAAATATCTTTCAACAGTTCGTTTCAGTTATGATTACCATAGAGCTTAAGTATCTGGTGCAAAGTATTCGCATAGCACAATTATCGTATCACTTGGAACGGATGTCAAAAGAAAGATGCAAACGTATCAAATGCGGACACAAATTTGCTGGGACGGAATTTTTTCACAGATAATGCCTTTATATTTCTTGCAAATCTATTAATCCTTTTCTCTGTTGATATATATTGGATTTATTTAATAAGGTATTTCGATTATTGAAGATCTATAGAAATTCCAAAGATATTTTAGATAATTCTAAATATCTATATCTATAAACGAGTTCCTACTTTTCAATTGATCTTTCTCTCTTGATATATGTATTAATTTTATTTAATAAAGACATTATATATTTGAAGATCTTTAGGAATTTCACAGATACTTCAGATATAGTGCTTGTGGATGTAAATTCCGAACTTGGCTTGTTTATAGGGGATATATTCTATATAGCTTCTCTTCTTTATACAGCCTTCTTTCTGAAAGCGAGAGTAAGTGGATTATGGAAGATCTTTAAGAACTCGGGAGGTGCCCTAAAGAAAGTGTACAATATAGATTGTTATATAGGGTATATTTGCTATGGATTATCTTCTTTTTCAGCTTTTACATATCTGTATCTTCTTTCTTCTAGTTAGTTTGAGTTGTTGGCTGCATCCGGTACCAAAATGATTTTAGATGTGCTTAAATGAAGCTGTTTCTGTTGCTGTTTTTAATGTTCTTTGTGCTCGATTGGGCATGATTTTAGAGCTTCCGCTGCAATTCTTGTGTTGAGTGTGGCAATTTGTGATACGCATATAAGAGTTAGTATTAATATTTGTATGCAAATGAATAATCACCTTTGCCGCTAATATCACAGCTGGCGAAAGACATAAAACTGATTTGTTAGCATTTTATAATCGACACACAATTTATTTACAACAATAAACAGAGACGCAATTTCAGGTTGTCTTTTGTTATCTCGTTGGGAATGTGTTTTTCGAAGCGCATTTTGCGACACATTGAATACATTTTTTAATAGCAATTGCAAAATGCGTGCCGAAAAGGCCAGGTTAAAAGCGTTGATTTTGTTAAACACACGTTTACACTGATATACCCACACAGTCGTCGCAATGGCAATGGGCTTTTAATGACCCAACCCGTGTCTCTGTGTGGATAAGGTGCGATTGTGGTGCTCCACGCCGTAACTGGCCACCGGTCGTTTCCCTAAACGTTGTCCAAACGCGGCGCCAGCGCGCCGACTAAATAAAATGCCGATTAAAATATCAATTGGGTGTGTGTTAGAGTGTGTGTCTTCGTGTGTGTGTGTGGTGTCTGCCTTGGCCAGACGATGCCACCATACAAATCGCCTAAGCGCATTAATATAATGCCATCAACAGCTGGCCAAGAGGTGCGTGACGCGGGTTGTGGCAGGCGGAGCGGGGCGCATGCAGCGTGTTGCAGCAATCGATTTAGTTGTCGTCGCAGCGATTGCAATCGACAGCAAGGGAGTGAGAGAGAGAGAGAGGGTGAGGGGGTAAAGAGTAGGCTTTGAGGCAAGACTTTCGCCCGTTTTTCGCATAATTCAATGCCACAACTGCAACTTATGCGACAACTCTTATAAATCAGCCGCAACGCCTGTCAACACCTTCTGCTGACCTTTTGCTCAACGCTGGCAACGTTGGCAACTCTGGCTCCAGGCGGGCAGGCGGCTATTTTTAGCCAGTTCGCGTAATCTTTGGCCAGCCATCGGCGGCTGCAACTGCTGCAACTGCGTCTCGCAGCATTATGAAATTGTGTCAGCTCTGCCATAAATTGCGCACTTTAAACGGGGCAAGTCCGGCGGTGATAGCATCGACTGCGACTGCGACTGCGACTGACACCTGAAGCCGCCGCCGCCACACGACAGAACTGACAAAGGGCCGCAGCGTGCGGCAAATATGTGGCAAGCACGTCACAGCTGGCGGGCGGGCTGGCGACGGGTGACTGCCAGAAATGTAACCAAAAGCTGGCAGCCAGGTCTCAATGTCTCAGTGTTCCCGGGGCTGCCATGGCAGCGGCTACTCCAATTGCAAAGGTTGCGAAATGTGTTTCATTGTCTTCTGTTGGACAGTGCGACATGTAAATTTGTTGCCTGCCGTTGTTTTTATTTTTATTTTCTTAGCTAGTTTTATTGCTGTCAGATCCGCCGGCTGATTGCCGCTGCGACTTAGCCGCCAGCTTAGTCCCTCGAATCGCCTATAAAACTGTCGCCTCAAATTATGCCATAAATTGATTAAACAAATCACGGTAAGCCGCAGCAGCTGCAGCCGAAAGCTTAGCATAGCTGTATTAAGATAAGTTCTACGCTTTGTGCAACTAGCTCAAATATGATTGGGTATTTCACATGCACCACGTTGCTCGCCATTATGCAATTTTTTGCGCTTTTGCCAGACTACTTTTATATGTTGCTTTTTAAAGCATTTTTACGACTATAAAACTATAAAACTTGCACGCGGACAGGTATTTTTAATGAACATAATGTGCAAAGGCATTTAAATGTCCCACGTTGGGCGCAATATTGGCATTTTGACTATTTATAGAGTATATAATAGTTGCGCTTAACGCTAACCTAGCCATTCTTGTTAATTAAACGAGTGACAATGATAAAACTAAAGTCTTGTGGCAATTTCATAGACATAACTATAACCAGTTACCAGTTACCTGTTACCTGTTACCTGTCGCTGCGATTTTCCACATCCCACGGCTGGCAATTAAGCAAAACGGCAAAAAAAAAAACCAAACTCTCTACCCATCAAACTGGGTCAGAGATGCAGCAGGAAGAGATCTCCGTGGCGTCATCAAGCTCGTCATTGGCTTTTGCTGCCCACGCAATAATCAAGCGAAATGATGGAAAATTAAATGTACAAATCATGTTTACGACTTGTCGTCGGACTGCCAGCCAGCCAGTTAGACACACAGACAGACAGACGGACAGTCGGACAACTGAGCGTTCCATCAGTCTATCAGCTAACTTAGCCCGTCTTTTCGTCTGGCATTTTGTCAGCCAGTTGGCAGTGGGCGTGGCAAAGCAGCAACTAACACTCCCGGCTAAAAAGAAATATAGGAAAAATTGTAGCCAACAAAATGTGCGCAACAACATTTTAGCCGGCTCCACAATGACACCATTTGCAATTAGAAGAAAAAGTGGCCCGTTGGCTACTGTGCTGAGGCAGAGCCTGAGACTGGGACTGCGACTGGAAGTGCGGCTGAGTCCGAGGATGTCAATGAAGATGATGCTGCTGCTGCTGGGGCTGGGGCTGCTGTCCATGCTAATGTGTTTGATTCTAAATAGCTGAAAACCAGTTGCAGCAGTTGCTGCCAATTGCAGTAGCCGTTGCGGCCTCGCACTGTACCCCAAAGTGTTCTCTGTCTTAAGAGTTAATTGCCTGATTTGCTAAGGCCTACGGTCGAGGCGGCACAGTTTTTAACCCAGCAAAACTGTGGGCAGATCTGTGAGCTGTTAGGCAAATGTGCTAAAAGATTATGCTTTCGGATTAGGCACGCATATAAGTCAGTTGCTCGATGCTGGGTTGGGAATAGAATGTCTGGCAGCGGAGCCAAGAAAAATTGAGAGAAATCTTCAGAGCAGAGGAAATAATAAGGCGTGGAGTGTGGGGAAATAACAGACGATAGCTGAGGCAAAAAAATGAGATGAAAAAAGAGGGAAAAGTGCAAATGGAAAGGGGAATTTCGGATCTCTGCAAGTATCTCATCACACACTCACATCTTTAACTATGTGGGCTCGGCGTATTCCATCTAACGATCGTCACGCGTTGATGGGTCGCATCAGCATCACATAATTTTGTGATATTTGCCATAATTTTGTTGCGTTAAATGAAAAATATGTTAAAGCCCGTTCGAGCTGATGTATTGAGTTGTTTAGCCCCAGGATACGACCAACCAACAACAAGAACAAGAACAAGCGCACAGAATGCGGCCATCAGTCAAGGCAACAAGTCAAGACTTCGACTTCGACTACAAACAGGGTCTTGCACTCCACGGTGCATGTACTGGCCCCGGTGGCTGAGTCTGCTGCATAAATAAGTAGGTTGCCTGCGAGTCTGTCGCCCCGTCCGTCTGTCCATCTGTCCCGCTGTCTATCTGCCTGCTGGCCTGACATGGGAATTGATATGGCAACGCAACATGCCAGCCAAACTGCAACAGCACCAAGAACAGCACCTCGGACAACTGACAAACAGTCAACGGGCAATTGGCATCGGGGCATTCCTTGGTTTTGCTCATCATTTCTCACAAATGGTTCAATTAATCAAAGCAAAACCTTGCACAACTGCGAATTTAATAACATTATTCGCCACGTAATACAAGACACATTCACCCCGCATATGATATCTGACAGTTGATATATAAATTATAGATCATGCCAGTCAATAGTCAATAGCTTTAATGATGCCCCTTGTAAGCTAGGAAAACAAAACACGGCGAATTGCATAAATCAACAATGTGGAATGCAGATCAAGATCGACGACTCATGCATATTAAATGCAAGCGCTATCAATTTGATGGAGTCCAGGCAACTGCGGTTAGTCTAGACTGGATTGTTAAGTACATTTTATTCGAATATTTTGTAAATGAGCATGGGTCGCATAACAAATATAGTTTTGATAAGTATTTTAATAATATTTCTCACCATTATATTATTTGTGCTCGTGACCTTCTGGCGCGTCAGAGGAGGTTAGTCTAGACATGATTGTAAGGTACATTTTATTGGAATATTTTCTAAAAGAACATGGACCGTTTGATTAGTATTTGAGCAGGATTTGAGTCCATGATACTTGAGGTTTGAAGAGCTCGTGGGCTTTTATTTAAACAGCCATTTGCCTTAAGGTAGTTCTCTAAGCGATATCTCATCTTGCAGTTTTTATATAATATATATGTATATATATATATATTAATTAACCTTGCATAAACTATGCTCTATTTATTGCAGGCAGCACCACAGAGCTGGCCCCCTCGCTGCTGGGACTTTATGACACGCTGACAAACAGCTTGGCCGTCGTCGGTGGTGCCACAACCAAGGCTGACGTGCATGCAACTGCCGCTGGCAACCAAAGCAGCGGTGAGTCAACGCCCAAGCGCAGCAACAGCAACTGCAGCAGTAACTCGAGCAACTCGAGCAACTCGAGCAACAACAGCAGCGACAACCTATCGGGCAGCTATGCACTAGATGCCGCACCACAGTCGCCGCTGGTGGTTGCCGGTCTGCGTGATGAGGCTGATGGCGTGCAGCTGAGTCGTCTGGTGGTGCAGCGGCGTCAGGAGCTGGGCAGCAGTCACAGCATCGCCTCCAGTGGCAGCAACAACAACAACAACAACAACAATTCCAGCAACAATTCGCGCCGCGGCAACAATATTCGCGTGCTCTCGCCCAATGTGCAGCGCATCATCGCGCACGCGGACGCAGAGCCCGTGAATGCGGTGGACATTGAGGCACTGCAGCAACAGCAACAGCAACAGCAGCTGCAGCAGCAGCTTCAGCGCAGTCCGACGCCTGTGCGTTATGTAAAGGCCCCAACGGCTGCCTCTACACCGCCTAAATTGAAACTGTCGCATCTGCCGCTGTCCAAGATTACGGGCAAACTGTCGACGCAATCCGGCAGCGATTTGGTGTCCACCTTGGATGCAAGCAGCGATTATAGTGGTTCGCCTAGAAGAGCTACGCCCGTGGATGAGGATAAAACGCCGACGAATAAAGCAGCGCCCGGCACACCCTTCCACTTTGAGGGCCAACCCTTTGGCCAACTCAAGCTGCGTCTGTACGACACGCAGCAGAGCATTAAACTGAGCGAAATGGAGCAGCTGGCGGTGACCAGCATGCAGCTGGCCGCACCACCGCCGCCAGCTACACCGCCCCGGCACAAGGCATTCGTTGTGGCTAGCGAGCCGCTGAGTCCCGAGCCATTTGTGGACACTATCAACTTTGATCTGGTTGCACAGCACATTGAACAGTTGACCCTAAGCGATCTGGATCTGGGTGAAACGCAGACAGATGGAAGCGCACAGCAGCTGGTGGAGGCCATCAATAAGCCGCTGATAGGCAAGCCGCTGGTGCGCAGCGTCTCCGCACCACGCGCCAGCTTGACGGGCTCCAGCTGCAGCTCCCCGCTGCAGACATATGCGCGCACCAAGCTCAAGAGTCAGAGCGGTAAGGCCAGCACGCTGGGCGGCGGCATGCCTCTGCGGCTGCCCACCGCCGAGCAGCTGGCCGAGCTGGAGGAGGCCAACAAGCTGTCGGCGGAGAGTCTGGACACGTTGACCGACATCAAGCCGAAGTATCCGCCGCGTCTGAGCGAGCTGACGCGTCTTAATAATCGCCCATTGTCCTCCTCCTCCATTTGCTCCACATCGTCCAGTTCGAGCTCTGGCTCCGATCAGCTGCTCAATGGCAAGCTGGCTGCCACCTCGTATTTGGCCAGCGTCGAGAGCCTGGCCGAGAGCGAGAACGAGCTGGGCGATCATCATCATCATCCCTCCCACACGAATCCCATGAGCGTGCTGGAACGCGCCTGCCTGGAGATTGTGGACTCGGAGCGCAGCTTTGTTGAGGATCTCGGTCAGGTTATCAAAGGGTAAGCGGCAATTGCTTGGCTGGTGATGATGATTTTGGGACTTTGGCTAACGAATCTGTTGCACTTTTCAGTTATCTGCTGGACTGGAAGGAACGCGCTTGCCTGCGCCTGGACGAATTGCAAATACTCTTTGCCAACATTGAAGAGATTTACGAATTCAATTCGATGCTACTGCAGCAGCTCATCAACTCGGGCATGGAGCCCGCCAAAATAGCTAAATGTTTTATAAACCTACGTGAACGTTTTAATGTGTATACAACCTACTGGTAAGACAGCAAACAATTTACCTTTCTGCTCGAAGTTGGGGCCTGAAGCAGTACCTAGAGATATTATCTAGTTGCACTTGACATTTGCAATAGCTAGTTTTCAACTCTATGAATGAGATTTTATCGATTCAAAGTTAACTTTTTAAATTAGCTCTTTTTGTTACTTTTTCCCAATCTCAGTCGCTCTCTCTATCTCTCCCTCTTTTTTATTTTGACCCTTCTCTCTTTCTAAATCTCTCTTTCCCTCTCTTTTTACACATTGATTCGTCATTTCTTTACTATTCCTCTTTTGAGTACTGCGTGCGATTCTCAAATAATTGGCATTTGCTATAAGAGTGAAAACTTTATCTCACTCTCTCTCTCTCTCTCTCTCTCTCTCTCTCTCTCTCTCTCTCTCTCTCTCTCTCTCTCTCTCTCTCTCTTGCCAAGTTTTTGAACAAAAGAAAATACACCTAATCTCTCGAGCAATTATCAAGCTCTGTATCTGTCCCTCTCTCTCTCTCTCTTTTAGTTTTAGTTTTATAATTTTTAGACAAGTCTTCAAGTTATTTCCCCAGCGTATTTTCCCAAGTCACAAGAGCTGAAGCAACGTATATCTCAGCGCTTGGCGTGTCTGCCAAATCTCAGATAGAGGCTGGCCAAGAACGGTTAACGGGCTGGCCAAAACTGATCTCGATTGCAGCCGCTGTTGGCCAGCAGCGGAACACGAACATTGACTTTGACTGCAGCATTTTTGCAGTCCAGGCACGCCATGCTCCAGTGCGGTCATGCGCCATGTTCGATGTTCCATTTAAGCGCTGACATTTGGCTCCGACTCTGGCTCTGGCTCTGACTCTGTCGCTGTCAATTTGAAGCCAACTGCGCGCGCCGTTTGATTTGTCGCCCCGGCTGACAGCTGAGCATATATCATGTGGCCATGTCCAGCGGTCCGTGGTTCAACTCCTCCGCCAACAGCTGATTTTAAATTCAAATTTCATGTTTCGCCTGATGAAGAGCTCAACGTTTTATTCTTTTTCGGTGCCCATCAATCAGCTGGTATAAGTACTCACCTTTTTGTTTTGTGTCACTTTTTTTAAGCACAAGCTACCCGGAAGCCATCTCGCTGCTGACCAAGCTGCTGCAGGCGAAACACACGAACTCGCTGCTGGCCTCCACGCAGAAGCTGCTGCAACATCGCCTGCCGCTTGGCTCCTATTTGCTGAAACCGGTGCAGCGCATACTCAAGTACCATCTGCTGCTGGACGTAAGTCAAATTTAAAAAAAAAAAACCCCACCCACACATCCTAACTCCCTCGCTCCCTTGTAGAGCCTGCGCAAGCACTGCGATGTCAAGGAGGTGGCCGAGGCGTATGCCATAATGCGTCAGGTAGCGCATCACATTGACCAGGTGAAGCGTCAGCAGGAGCAGCAGAGTCGTGTCAAGGAGCTGTCTGGCATACTCGACGGCTGGATGGGGCCAGGTAAGTTTTCAAGACAAACAAACTGAGAATTAACTGGAAAATCGTTTTTGGCTAACAACTCTTTCTTACTCTCCCATGACTTGCCAGATCTGAGCGTGCTGCGCGAGCTGCGGCACGAGGGCCTGCTCATGGAACAGCACAACAAGCCGCGTCAGGTGCTGCTCTTCGAGACGATGCTGATCATCACCAAGCAGAAGGAGGACGGTCGTCTGCAGTTCAAGAGCCTCATAACCGTAAGTTGCAGTTCAGTCCCAACCAATCCCAAGCAATCTCTCACTAATGCCCAACTCTAGCAAAAAAATCTGATGCTTAGCGAACATTTGCCCGGCGAGCCCACCAGCTTCTATGTCATACCCTTCGATGAGCCGCGCAATCAAATCAAGCTGACGGCCAGAAATCGTGACCAGAAGCGCATCTGGACGCAGCACATTAAAGGTGTTATGCTCGAGGAGCTGGATATACCCACGCGCGCCAAGGAACTTGTCTACCAGCTGGGCAACGAGGAAGGTGAGCTCCAAATGCTGTCTGCTGTACATCAGCTCTTTGCATACAGCTACCTGTGCGTACCTGTATGTACCTGTGTGTTTGTGTGTGTGTGTGTGTTTGTGTGTTTGTTTGTTTGTTGTGCCTGTCCCTGTTTTGCTTATTTTCTTGTCGGCGTCTAAAACACATAACCAATTTTTCTTTTTATTTTTTTGAAAGGTAAGATGATGTAGTGTACTTACAGTTATGCGGGCACACGTGCAAATACACTGCAAAAAATGTAGCTTACTTCAGAGCCATTGTGAATTAGCACTAGTTAGAGTTAAAGCTTTTAAAAGCTCACTTATACACTGCAAACATTTTTTACCATTAAAGTTTGGAGTATTTTTAGGCTTAGCATATAAAGCCTTGAGTATGATAAGGATTGCATATTGGAGCTTTCAAAGCTCACTAATACATTGTAAATATGTGTAGGCATATTGTTCGTGTAAAGCTTTAGTTATATTTTGGACATATATGTCGTTAAACACATAGACAACATGCAACGCTTAGAAGTTTCAGCTGGGTGAGCTTTTAAAGCTTATTTTTATAGTGAAAAAAGGAGCTCAATTGCTTCAAATTGCCCAAGCCTATTTTACTTAAAAAACCTTACCCAAAACTCACTGAAAAAGCTCAAAACTGATGCATATCCGAAGCTCATGAAAGCTCGCCTTATAAGACAATCTGCTCAAAGTTTTAATCCTATACAAGGCTTGCAGACATAGCTTGCATCCATGCTTAATAATATCCGTTATTAGAGCTTTTTAAAGCTCACTAATACACACACAGATCATACTTCAGCAGCTGGGCTTGTATTGAAAGCATATAGTTGCCATTTGGCAACTGGGCATTTTGTAGCAGTGCATTTGCACTTTACATGCCGCTCCAGCTGTTCGCTGGGACTCACCTCAAGTGACATAACCACGTTTTGTAGTGCTTTTTAGTTTATTTATCTGTTTGCTTAGGCCTCCTTTTTGTGTGGTAGCTTTCTGGCCAAAATCGTGCCATATCTGACTCCTAAGTTGATTTATGTGTGTCTTGCTCTTTGTGTGCTTATCTCCGCTGTTTGCACATTTTAATTGCACATGTTTTGTGCACAACTGTACGCGGCCTGCATTAAATTATATAATTGGTTTACGGTGCTTATAACTAACATAATACAACAAATACTTGCTTATTATTTTTGGTATATGGTGTAACTAATTTTGCCTTACCTTTAGTTTCTTGTATTTATCTTTTATCTATATATACATATAAATATTTATTATTTTTGCTATATGTTTACCGTTGTAGTACTACCAGTGATGCATTCTAAAACTAAACCACCCAAACCAAACAAGAAAAGAAAACTTTAATTAGTTTTTAAGGCGTTCCTAAGGCTAAACACCAGAGACTGAACTAAGCGCTACTATTTTCCATACCCAAACCCTAAAAAAAGAAAAACAAAACAAAACAAAAATAAACTAAAACTTAAATACAAAATTATAATTTCTAGTAAAATTTAACTGTTAACTGCTAATCGTTATCGCTATCGCTATCGTTAATGTTATCGTTATCGTTATCCCGTAATCGTAATCGTATGTATTAGTTTAAATTTCTGGTAATTGCGGCGCTGACGTAGTCTAATTAAACTGATATATCCGGTCGCTGCCTAGTAAGTATTTCGAGCTATCAATTTACAAAACATTTAAAGTTTCTTTTATTTTTTTTATTTGGCTTCTGATTTTTTAATTGGCTTGTTTCTGCTCCACGGTCCATGGTCTAACGTCCAGCATGTACGCATACTAACCCACATTATTTATGCCAGCATGTTTTATGACTAACCCATAACTCAAGGACGATCTAGCCCATAAATGGCACTTAATCTAGCGAATGTTAAATATACCTGTGACGAGAAAGCTCTTGTTTTCAATTTAACTTACTTTAAGCGTGCTTTTATTTAAACAAATCAAAATAGTTCACGTCTAAAGCTCTTAGTTTACTTGATTTAATACTCCTAGTTTTTCACTTTATAAGAATTTGTCTTAGAATTCAATCAATTGACAAAAATGACACTATCAATGGATGTGAAAAACAGCTTTAAGCTTTAAGAGAAACAAGCTAAGTTAAAGTATCTTGTTTAGAGCTTTTATTTGAGAAGTTATCTTACATAAAAGAAACGTGCTCGATTAATCTTAGAGCCTTACATTCAGGAGCTTTTATATATTTGAGCTTTTACTGAAAGCTTTAACTTTTCTAATTGTATTGTTGATTCCGTATATTGAGTAATAAACAGATTAAATTAATACTTGTTTGTAAATGGGTTTTTAATCCAAAAGCTCTCCCTGTCTATTACTCAATGGATTCAAGAATTAAGTGCCATTTTAAGCTAGTGTCATTGAGCCTAACTCCAAAAAGCCTTCACTGTATCTCTGACAGCATGTGTTGGAACGTTGATGGCATTTGTTGATGCAGTTGCTCTGGTTGCTAGTGCTTAGAGAATGTTGCTGGTGTTTGACCACAGCCAACGTCCGCCTTCTATCATCTACCGCCCTTACCATTACAGCCTCTGCTTGCGTAACGCCCCTTTGTGCAACGACAAGAGACTAATTCAAACTTTTTGTCATCTTCTTTTCTTTTCTGTTTACTGCCTTGATGCAGAGCGCACGCCGGATCGCAGCACCTGGAAGTGGAGCCTGAACTCCAGCAGCAACTCGACGCCCACATATTTGGAGAGGCGCAACGCTTGCCGGCGCAGCGAGATACGTCAGCGGAACTCCAAGTTCAAGCGAAAGACCATCGCCAACTCCGGCTCCTTTGACAGCTTCAATGAATCGCTGGAACAACCACAGCCCGAGGACCAGCAGCAGCAGCCAGCAGCTAAGCCCGCCAAGGCGCTGGGGCGCAACAATAGCTTGGATGACACTGCGCTTCAGAAACTGGCCGCTGCTGTGAGATATCGGAGCGGCGGTAAGCGCGACGGCAAGTCCAGCCCCAGCAAGGAGCACTGCAAGTGTGCGTCACAGGAGCAGGATCATGATCAGTGCCTGTGCATACTGCGTGACCAGCGCAGTCGCACCAAATCCCAGAGTCCAGTGTTTAGTTACAAGGCGTTAAAGGAGCGCAGCAAGTCGGTGCCCCGCATTGGCGGCTTCAGCCTCGACGAACAGCGGGAGGCGGATGACGACAGTTCCGCCTCGCTGCGTGGCAGCAAGCCCGATCTTAGCGAGCGCAAGGCCAAGGGCAAGGGCTACTTCGAGGTGAAGCAATACAACCACAAGACCATGCCCAAGCGCATTGCTACGCTAAAGAAGCAGCGGGGCAGCAGTGGAAATCGCAAGGAGAGCTGCTCCAAGTTCTACATGGATCTCAGCGAGTTTGACAGCACGGTGCTGAAGATAACCGAATCCACAGAGGATCTCGAGCTGGCCGAGGAGGCGCGGGAGACTCAATCTCCGCAGCCGGAACAGTATTATGCCAGCCAGCTGGAGACATCAACATCGACGCTCTCGCCAGCCGAAAAGTCCAGGCGTGATGCGGAAATTGTGCTCGATCTGCTCAAAAACAACAAGGAGTTCGAGCGCATCTACAACAAGAACAAACAGCAGAAGCAGCGACGGGACAGCAGCCAGGCCACAACGCCGCTATCGCCGCTCAGCCCTGGCCAGGAGGCGCCACCGTTGCCGCCACGTCCGCCATCGCGCTCACCGCCGCCCCTAGACGCAGAACAGGAACTGGCCAAGCAGCAGCAGCAGCAGGTGAAGGACGTGGAGGAGCCCATCTATGAGACGCTGCTGCGTAATGTACATGTGCCCTACAAGTTCTCACCTGTGCTGGGACGCGCCAAGTCCGTGCAATACTTCAAGCAGCGCGAGAAGCGTGCGCCAGCGCCAGCGCCACGGCCCGAATCTGACTATGTCACCCTGGTGTACTCGCCGGAGGGCGTACTGCAGCGTGTCGGCGAGGATGCAGTGCAGCAGCAGCGTGACAGCACTGGCTCCGAGTCCAGCTCCGGCTCGACGGTAAAACGTGACAGCCAAACAACTGTCATCAATCTTAGCCTGGAGTCCAATACTGAGGCGGATCAGATTGATGCGCTCTATGCGCGTCCCATACCAAAGAACCTAATGAGACGTTTGCTCAGCAATGGCTCCGGCAATGGCCATAAGGGCGCATTGGAGAACGTTAGCCACTCGGAGATTTCGCTGCTGCCGCGTGCACTCAAATCCATTGATAATTTGAGCATGGCCTTTGGACGCAGCAATCGGCCGCCCGAACGTCGCGTTTCGGATGTGAGCGAAATGTGCCGCCAGAGCATACTGCATCGTCAGGGCAGCGAGGCAGTGGGTGAGCGCATGGCGCATGTGGATTATGCAGATCCCAAGACGCTCTTCAGCATCATAGCCAGCTCGGAGGCGTCGCTGCAGCGCGACTCTGTCTTCTCGCTCACCTCCTCCTCATGCACGTCAAGCGACAGCATGTGTGAGCAGCAGCGGAAGCGCTCCGCCGCAGAGCTGCCAGCATCCGGCTTCGAGTACGAGCAGCATGTGGAGGATAGTCTGGAGAATGATTTCCGCGATTCAGCCATTTACAGTGATGATAACAACGAAAAGCGCAGCATTGATTTAGACCTGAAGCGGCCGCGCAGTCCACCACCGCCGCCCCCCTCTTTGTCTGGAGCGGACCGTCATCTGGCGCCGTCATCGCCGTCCCCGCCTGAAATAGCGCCCAAGCCAACGAAAGCAGCGATACATGAGCTGCTTGGCCAACATCCAAGTGTGGTGCTTTGTCCACCGCATCTCAGCCAGGCGGCATCGCGCAGCTGGGTGCTCCAGCAGATTGAGAACTTCAACAAGTAGACGAGCCGTCGAGGGAGATTGCGATTCCCTTGTTCATTGCCATAGAAGTGCATAGTTTCGTAGTTTTTTTTTACTGTATATATTCAAGTACTTTTAAATACAAACTATCTACTTACATGTTCAAGAAACACATAGGGTTTCTAGTTGAACGTGGCTATTTCTAAAATATTGTTTAGAAAATTTTTTTGATGATCAACGGCCAAGTTATGTCGTTTTGAAGCGACATAGCTCCGCCGATCTAAAAAAATCTTGGAGATATGACGTTTCAAAGCGACATAACTTCGCCGTTGATCTTGGCGGATTCTACGGACCTCCCCGAGTAGCCCCTCCCTTTTTGGCCCCTATCGGGCTTTATTTGGCCGAGATATGACCATTTAAAGTTTTTCAAAAAAATTCGTGTAGTTGTGGACACGATATTCACGACATAATCTCGCCATGATCAACGCAGAAGTTATGTCGCTTTGAAACGTCATATCTCCGCCGCTCTAAAAAAATCTTGGAGATATGACGTTTCAAAGTGACATAACTTCGCTGTTGATCTTGGCGGTTTCTATGGACCTCCCCGAGCAACCCTTCCCTTTTTGACCGAAATCGGGCTTTATTTGGCCGAGATATGACCATTTAAAGTTTTCCAAAAAAATTCGTGTGGTTGTGGACACTAGATTCACGACATTATCTCGCCATGATCAACGGTGAAGTTATGTCGCTTTAAAACGTCATATCTCCGCCGTCACGTTCCAAAGCGACATAACTTCGCCGTTGATCTTGGCGGTTTCTATGGACCTCCCCGAGTAGCCCTTCCCTTTTTGACCGAAATCGGGCTTTATTTACGCGATATTCACGACATAATCTCGCCATGATCAACGGCGAAGTTATGTCGCTTTGAAACGTCATATCTCCGCCGATTTAAAAAATCATGGAGATATGACGTTTCAAAGCGACATAACTCCGCCGATCTAAAAAATCATGGAGATATGACGTTTCAAAGCGACATAGCTTCGCCGTCGATCTTGGCGGATTCTACGGACCTCCCCGAGTAGCTCTTTCCTTTTTGACCGAAATCGGGCTTTATTTACGCGATATTGACGACATAATCTCGCCATGATCAACGGCGAAGTTATGTCGCTTTGAAACGTCATATCTCCGCCGTCACGTTCCAAAGCGACATAACTTCGCCGTTGATCTTGGCGGTTTCTATGGACCTCCCCGAGTAGCCCTTCCCTTTTTGACCGAAATCGGGCTTTATTTAGCCGAAATATGACCATTTAAAGTTTTCCAAAAAGATTCGTGTGGTTGTGGACACGATATTCACGACATAATTTCGCCATGATCAACGGCGAAGTTATGTCGCCTTAAAACGTCTTATCTCCGCCGCTCTAAAAAAATTTTTGAGATATGACGTTTCAAAGCGACATAACATCGCCGTTGATCTTGGCGGTTTCTATGGACCTCCCCGAGTAGCCCTTCCCTTTTTGACCGATATCGGGCTTTATTTACGCGATATTCACGACATAATCTCGCCATGATCAACGGCGAAGTTATGTCGCTTTGAAACGTCATATCTCCGCCGATTTAAAAAATCATGGAGATATGACGTTTCAAAGCGACATAACTCCGCCGATCTAAAAAATCATGGAGATATGACGTTTCAAAGCGACATAGCTTCGCCGTCGATCTTGGCGGATTCTACGGACCTCCCCGAGTAGCTCTTTCCTTTTTGACCGAAATCGGGCTTTATTTACGCGATATTGACGACATAATCTCGCCATGATCAACGGCGAAGTTATGTCGCTTTGAAACGTCATATCTCCGCCGTCACGTTCCAAAGCGACATAACTTCGCCGTTGATCTTGGCGGTTTCTATGGAACTCCCCGAGTAGCCCTTCCCTTTTTGACCGAAATCGGGCTTTATTTAGCCGAAATATGACCATTTAAAGTTTTCCAAAAAGATTCGTGTGGTTGTGGACACGATATTCACGACATAATTTCGCCATGATCAACGGCGAAGTTATGTCGCCTTAAAACGTCTTATCTCCGCCGCTCTAAAAAAATTTTTGAGATATGACGTTTCAAAGCGACATAACATCGCCGTTGATCTTGGCGGTTTCTATGGACCTCCCCGAGTAGCCCTTCCCTTTTTGACCGATATCGGGCTTTATTTACGCGATATTCACGACATAATCTCGCCATGATCAACAGCGAAGTTATGTCGCTTTGAAACGTCATATCTCCGCCGTCACGTTCCAAAGTGACATAACTTCGCCGTCGATCTTGGCGGTTTCTATGGACCTCCCCAAGTAAGCCCTTCCTTTTTGACCGAAATCGGGCTTTATTTGGCCGAGATATGACTATTTAAAGTTTTCCACAAAAAGTGGTGTGGTTGTGGACACGATATTCACGACATAATCTCGCCATGATCAACGGCGAAGTTATGTCGCTTGGAAACGTCATATTTCCGCCGCTCTAAAAAAATCTTGGAGATATGACGTTTCAAAGGGACATAACTTCGCCGTCGATCTTGGCGGATTATACGGACCTCCCCGAGTAGCCCTTCCTTTTTTGACCGAAATCGGGCTTTATTTGGCCGAGATATGACCATTTAAAGTTTTCCAAAAAAGTTCGTGCAGTTGTGGACACGATATTCACGACATAATTTCGCCATGATCAACGGCGAAGTTATGTCGCTTTGAAACGTCATATCTCCGCCGCTATAAAAAAATCTTGGAGATATGACGTTTCAAAGCGACATAACTTCGCCGTTGATCTTGGCGGTTTCTATGGACCTCCCCGAGTAGCCCTTCCCTTTTTGACCCCTATCGGGCTTTATTTGGCCGAGATATGACCATTTAAAGTTTTCCAAAAAAATTCGTGTAGTTGTGGACACATTATTCACGACATAATCTCGCCATGATCAACGGCGAAGTTATGTCGCTTTGAAACGTCATATCTCCGCCGCTATAAAAAAATCTTGGAGATATGACGTTTCAAAGCGACATAACTTCGCCGTTGATCTTGGCGGTTTCTATGGACCTACCCGAGTAGCCCTTCCCTTTTTGACCCCTATCGGGCTTTATTTGGCCGAGATATAGCCATTTCAAGTTTTCGGGGTAGTTATGTCGTTTTGAAGCGACATAAGTCCGCCGATCTAAAAAAATCATGGAGATATGACGTTTCAAAGCGACATAACTTCGCCGTCGATCTTGGCGGATTCGACGGACCTCGCCGAGTAGCCCCTCCCTTTTTGGCCCCTAGCGGTCTTTATTTGGCCGAGATATGACCATTTCAAGATTTCCAAAAAAGTTCGTGTGGTTGTGGACGCGATATTCACGACATAATCTCGCCATGATCAACGGCGAAGTTATGTCGCTTTGAAACGTCATATCTCCGCCGTTTTAAAAAATCATGGAGATATGACGTTTCAAAGCGACATAACTCCGCCGATCTAAAAAATCATGGAGATATGACGTTTCAAAGCGACATAACTTCGCCGTCGATCTTGGCGGATTCTACAGACCTCCCCGAGTAGCCCCTCCCTTTTTGGCCCCTATCGGGCTTTATTTGGCCGAGATATGACCATTTCAAGATTTCCAAAAAAGTTCGTGTAGTTGTGGACGCGATATTCACGACATAATCTCGCCATGATCAACGGCGAAGTTATGTCGCTTTGAAACGTCATATCTCCGCCGTTTTAAAAAATCATGGAGATATGACGTTTCAAAGCGACATAACTCCGCCGATCTAAAAAATCATGGAGATATGACGTTTCAAAGCGACATAACTTCGCCGTCGATCTTTGGCGGATTCTACAGACCTCCCCGAGTAGCCCCTCCCTTTTTGGCCCCTATCGGGCTTTATTTGGCCGAGATATGACCATTTCAAGATTTCCAAAAAAGTTCGTGTAGTTGTGGACGCGATATTCACGACATAATCTCGCCATGATCAACGGCGAAGTTATGTCGCTTTGAAACGTCATATCTCCGCCGATCTAAAAAAATCTTGGAGATATGACGTTTCAAAGCGACATAACTTCGCCGTCGATCTTGACGGATTCAACGGACCTCGCCGAGTAGCCCTTCCCTTTTTGGCCCCTATCGAGCTTTATTTGACCGAGATATGAGCATTCAAAGTTTTCGGGGTAGTTATGTCGTTTTGAAGCGACATAACTCCGCCGATCTAAATTAATCATGGAGGTATGACGTTTCAAAGCGACATAACTTCGCCGTCGATCTTGGCGGATTCTACAGACCTTCCCGACTAGCCCCTCCCTTTTTGGCCCCTATCGGGCTTTATTTGGCCGAGATATGACCATTTCAAGATTTCCAAAAAAGTTCGTGTAGTTGTGGACGCGATATTCACGACATAATCTCGCCATGATCAACGGCGAAGTTATGTCGCTTTGAAACGTCATATCTCCGCCGATCTAAAAAAATCTTGGAGATATGACGTTTCAAAGCGACATAACTTCGCCGTCGATCTTGGCGGATTCAACGGACCTCGCCGAGTAGCCCTTCCCTTTTTGGCCCCTATCGGCCTTTATTTGGCCGAGATATAGCCATTTCAAGTTTTCGGGGTAGTTATGTCGTTTTGAAACGTCATATCTCCGCCGATCTAAGAAATTTTGGAGATATGACGTTTCAAAGCGACATAACTTCGCCGATCTAAAAAATCATGGAGATATGACGTTTCAAAGCGACATAACTTCGCCGTCGATCTTGGCGGATTCTGCGGACATCCCCGAGTAGCCCCTCCCTTTTTGGCCCCTATCGGGCTTTATTTGGCCAAGATATGAACATATAAAGTTTTCCAAAAAAATTGGTGTTGTTGTGGACATAATATTCACGACATAATCTCGCCATGATCAACGGCGAAGTTATGTCGCTTTGAAACGTCATATCTCCGCCGATCTAAAAAAATCTTGGAGATATGACGTTTCAAAGCGACATAACTTCGCCGTCGCTCTAGGCGGATTCTACGGACCTACCCGAGTAGCCCCTCCCTTTTTTGCCCCTATCGGGCTTTATTTGGCCGAGATATAGCCATTTCAAGTTTTCGGGGTAGTTATGTCGTTTTGAAGCGACATAACTCCGCCGATCTAAAAAAATCATGGAGATATGACGATTCAAAGCGACATACCTTCGCCGTCGATCTTGGCAGATTCTACGGACCTCACCGACTAGCCCCTCCCTTTTTGGCCCCTATCGGGCTTTATTTGGCCGAGATATAGCAATTTAAAGTTTTCAGGGTAGTTATGTCGTTTTGAAGCGACGTAGCTCCGCCGATCTAAAAAAATCATGGAGATATGACGTTTCAAAGCGACATAACTTCGCCGTCGATCTTGGCGGCTTCTACGGACCTCCCCGAGTAGCCCCTCCCTTTTTGACCGAAATCGGGCTTTATTTGGCCGAGATATGACCATTTAAAGTTTTCCAAAAAAGTTCGTGTAGTTGTGTACACGATATTCACGACATAACTTCGCCGTTAATTTTGGCGGCTTCCTTGGACCTCCCCGAGTAGCTCTCCCTTGTTGACCGAAATCGGGCTTTATTTGGCCGAGATATGAGCATTTAAAGTTTTTCAAATAAGTTCGTGAAGTTGTGGACACGATATTCACGACATAATCTCGCCATGATCAACGGCGAAGTTATGTCGCTTTGAAACGTCATATCTCCGCCGATCTAAAAAATCATGGAGATATGACGTATCAAAGCGACATAACTTCGCCGTTGATCTTGGTGGATTCTATGGACCTCCCCGAGTAGCCCTTCCCTTGTTGACCGAAATCGGGCTTTATTTGGCCGAGATATGGATTCGGTGCCGCAATGAAATGACATTTTTATAGTAAAATTGCATATGCTGGCAAGGGCTTGACAATTGCTTAAACAGTTTTAGGCCTGTTTCCTGTTGATCTTTTTAACTGCACTCGCTTCGCAAACATCAGAATGCGAGAAACGTAACGTTTTTCTTTTTTTTTTTCTTCTTTTTTTTGTGTGGGAGTTCTTTCAACTGGCTCTGCCAGAACGCTTTCAACTCCCGTGCTTTTCAAGGTTACAGCCCCCAGGTGAATACAGATGAAAAAAAATCCAAGCAATGGACTCTGCTTTTGTGCAAATTTCAATATTCATATATTATTTATTTGTTTTTTTTTTTTTCTCTTTTTATTTATTTTAGTTTTTGTTTATAACATATGTTGCCGATTCATTGAGATCTTATGATTAATATTATATGTCAAGGCGATTGAGATGTGATTATTATGTTACGAGTTTCTACTTAGCTACTACTTAATACTATTCTAATTATTTTGTTTACTTATAATGTATTTTAAGAAATACAATTTTGTAGGCTGTTGAGCTATGCACTGTTATACTACTTGCCACTAGGTGGCGCAGCAGAAACGCAAAACAATTTTGTTTTTCTCAAACCAAGGCCCAGCATGAAGCACATTCTCTCGTATGCCACCAGGTGGCGCCAGCAAAAGTAAAGCCTAGACAACTGAAGTACTAGTTTATTATTACATGTGCAACTCGTCGTCGTGCTTGCGATTCACTTGAACTCAAAAACTAGTTATTTTGATGCCAATATATTGTAATGAATTACACCTACTTGTCACATCTGACGCTATAAAGCCCAGCTCAATCTGTAAATGTGCGGCAGTGGCTGTTAATCAGTTCTAGCATGAGGTCTACTAAGTTAATATTATTTCATGTCGGACTGTTTGCTATCTGCGCAACTACGGGTTAGTTAATAAATCTATCTGTATGACATCTAATCGATTGCTTAATTAGAGATAAATCCGGATGGACTGCGTATACTGGAGCAACAGAATTGTGGCATCGGCAAAAATGTTCGCTTAATAGGGAATGCAACTGAAGTTATTCCCGGATCGAGACCCTGGATGGCACTAATTAAGAATAACGATACGATCAGTCCATATTATTGTATTGGGACTCTTATAACGGATCGTAAGTGACTACTGGCACAACTTTAAATTGAAAGCTTACTATTCAATTTTCAATCACATTTTTATATACAGAATTCGTGTTAACTGTTGCGCATTGTGCTTCGAAAGTTGAGTTGTAAGTAAGCCTATTAAGGATCTCCCAAATAATAGATGAAGAAAACAGCTCAAGGCTTCTTTTTATTATAACAGAGAATCTGTGACCTTGGGCAACAACAATCTATTAACTGATGAGGATTGTTTCAAATCTAAGAACTCGAACGGAAACAATTGCTTGCCGGCAGTTGAAAGATTTGGTATCGAAACGGTGATTGTGCACGAACATTTTACATTTAATGAAAATTACGCAAATGATATAGCTCTACTAAAGCTCTCCAAAAAGGTTAAATTTCAAGGTTAGTTTATACGTTAACATATATTTACTATTCAAAGTTAAATAACTGATTTATTCCCAGATCACATCAGTCCCATCTGCTTGCCAGTGAATGCAACCCTGCAACAACAAGTGGAAACTCTGGCAACGCTGGGGCGCAGACGAGCACGACGATACTAAAAAGACTATTTTGCGGGAGACAGCAGTGGATACTTCTATCGAAGGTCGGAAAAAATGTACAGAAAATATTGCTCATTTCAGACCTGTTGTGAACGACGATTTGTGTGTCCTTAAGAAACCCGTCCTCTGCATCGGTATATCTGGCGCTCCATTAAGTAGTTCGGTTGAATATCCCGGAACAGAACGTTTTGTGCAGTTTGGAATTATCAATGTGGGCATAAGAGACTGCGTTACAATTGTTGGTGTAAAGGTTGCGAACTACATGCCATGGATAACCAATAAGCTGGCACAGCAATAGCAACATGGTATATCGATATTTCCCAAATGAAAATTACATTATTTTTCATAGTATGCTATCGATCGTTTATTTTCTAAAATCCGTTTTTGCTGTTTGATATATATTTGCATATACATATTTGACTAAACACTACGAAAAAGAATTTGTCATGGCGTTATCTGTATTTCACAGAGTCGATGGCATCGGTCAAAAAGTCTGAACTACGACGAAATTGCATTTCAGCCAAATCTGTCGCAGTCCTGGCCGAACAAAAAATAAAAATAGGTTCCCAGATGACCCATATATCCTTGGTTTTACCATATCATTGATAGAGTCCTGGTGAACGTACAGTTCCAAATCCGTGCGAAATTCACTCGGAAATGTTCCTGAAACATGAATGTATGCGTTTTCTTTCAGCCGCCCTCTCCTCACTCCATGATTCCTAGAAGACGCATGTATCCTTGGTTTTCCATACCATGGATAGAGTCCTGGCGAATCTATAGTTCCAAATCCTAGCAAAAATCGCTTTAAAGCTTTATCTACAAATAAATTAAGGTTTATTAATTCCCCTTCACTGGGCCCGGCCGATGGTTTCCACTTTTAAAATCAAAATTGAACTGAAATACCAGGCGAACAGAAATGCCCAGCAGGTAGCTGCACAGAAATTTTTTAGCAAAAATAATGACTTGCAAGTTTCTTAACAGTTCACTGTTAAGCTGCTGTTATTTAACAGTGTGATGTTAAGCCAATGTTAGTTAACATACCACTGCTTCATGTCGCTTCAAAACGACATAATATCGCCGTTGATCATGGCGAGAATGTGTCGTGAATATCGTGTCCACAACTACACGTTCTTTTTTGGAAAACTTTAAATGGTCATGTCTCGGCCCGATAGGGGCCAAAAAAGGAGGGGCTACTCGGGAAGGTCCGTAGAATCCGCCAAGATCGAAGGCGAAGTTATGTCGCTTTGAAACGTCATATCTCCAAGATTTTTTAGATCGGCGGAGATATGACGTTTCAAAGCGACATAACTTCGCCGTTGACCATGGTGAGATTATCTCCAAGATTTTTTAGAGCAGCGGAGATATGACGTTTCAAAGCGACATAACTTCGCCGTTGACCATGGTGAGATTATCTCCAAGATTTTTTAGAGCGGCGGAGATATGACGTTTCAAAGCGACATAACTTCGCCGTTGACCATGGTGAGATTATCTCCAAGATTTTTTAGAGCGGCGGAGATATGACGTTTCAAAGCGACATAACTTCGCCGTTGACCATGGTGAGATTATCTCCAAGATTTTTTAGAGCGGCGGAGATATGACGTTTCAAAGCGACATAACTTCGCCGTTGACCATGGTGAGATTATCTCCAAGATTTTTTAGAGCGGCGGAGATATGACGTTTCAAAGCGACATAACTTCGCCGTTGACCATGGTGAGATTATCTCCAAGATTTTTTAGAGCGGCGGAGATATGACGTTTCAAAGCGACATAACTTCGCCGTTGACCATGGTGAGATTATCTCCAAGATTTTTTAGAGCGGCGGAGATATGACGTTTCAAAGCGACATAACTTCGCCGTTGACCATGGTGAGATTATCTCCAAGATTTTTTAGAGCGGCGGAGATATGACGTTTCAAAGCGACATAACTTCGCCGTTGACCATGGTGAGATTATCTCCAAGATTTTTTAGAGCGGCGGAGATATGACGTTTCAAAGCGACATAACTTCGCCGTTGACCATGGTGAGATTATCTCCAAGATTTTTTAGAGCGGCGGAGATATGACGTTTCAAAGCGACATAACTTCGCCGTTGACCATGGTGAGATTATCTCCAAGATTTTTTAGAGCGGCGGAGATATGACGTTTCAAAGCGACATAACTTCGCCGTTGACCATGGTGAGATTATCTCCAAGATTTTTTAGAGCGGCGGAGATATGACGTTTCAAAGCGACATAACTTCGCCGTTGACCATGGTGAGATTATCTCCAAGATTTTTTAGAGCGGCGGAGATATGACGTTTCAAAGCGACATAACTTCGCCGTTGACCATGGTGAGATTATCTCCAAGATTTTTTAGAGCGGCGGAGATATGACGTTTCAAAGCGACATAACTTCGCCGTTGATCATGGCGAGATTATGTCGTGAATATCGCGTCCACAACCACACGAACTTTTTTGGAAATCTTGAAATGGTCATATCTCGGCCAAATAAAGACCGTTAGGGGCCAAAAAGGGAGGGGCTACTCGGCGAGGTCCGTCGAATCCGCCAAGATCGACGGCGAAGTTATGTCGCTTTGAAACGTCATATCTCCATGATATTTTTAGATCGGCGGACTTATGTCGCTTCAAAACGACATAACTACCCCGAAACTTGAAATGGCTATATCTCGGCCAAATAAAGCCCGATAGGGGTCAAAAAGGGAAGGGCTACTCGGGGAGGTCCGTAGAATCCGCCAAGATCGACGGCAAAGTTATGTCGCTTTAAATCGTCATATCTCCAAGATTTGTTTAGATCGGCGGAGATATGACGTTTCAAAGCGACATAACTTCGCCGTTGACCATGGCGAGATTATGTCGTGAATATCGTGTCCACAACTACACGAACTTTTTTGGAAAACTTTAAATGGTCATATCTCGGCCAAATAAAGCTCGATTTCGGTCAAAAGGGGAAGGGCTACTCGGGGAGGTCCGTCGAATCCGCCAAGATCGACGGCGAAGTTATGTCGCTTTGAAACGTCATATCTCCATGATATTTTTAGATCGGCGGACTTATGTCGCTTCAAAACGACATAACTACCCCGAAACTTGAAATGGCTATATCTCGGCCAAATAAAGCCCGATAGGGGTCAAAAAGGGAAGGGCTACTCGGGGAGGTCCGTAGAATCCGCCAAGATCGACGGCAAAGTTATGTCGCTTTAAATCGTCATATCTCCAAGATTTGTTTAGATCGGCGGAGATATGACGTTTCAAAGCGACATAACTTCGCCGTTGACCATGGCGAGATTATGTCGTGAATATCGTGTCCACAACTACACGAACTTTTTTGGAAAACTTTAAATGGTCATATCTCGGCCAAATAAAGCTCGATTTCGGTCAAAAGGGGAAGGGCTACTCGGGGAGGTCCGTAGAATCCGCCAAGACCGACGGCGAAGTTATGTCGCTTTGAAACGTCATATCTCCGCCGATCTAAACAAATCTTGGAGATATGACGATTTAAAGCGACATAACTTCGCCGTCGATCTTGGCGGATTCTACGGACCTCCCCGAGTAGCCCCTCCCTTTTTGGCCCCTATCGGGCTTTATTTGGCCGAGATATGACCATTTAAAGTTTTCCAAAAAAGTTCGTGTAGTTGTGGACACGATATTCACGACATAATCTCACCATGATCAACGGCGAAGTTATGTCGCTTTGAAACGTCATATCTCCGCCGCTCTAAAAAATCTTGGAGATAATCTCACCATGGTCAACGGCGAAGTTAAGTCGCTTTGAAACGTCATATCTCCGCCGCTCTAAAAAATCTTGGAGATAATCTCACCATGGTCAACGGCGAAGTTATGTCGCTTTGAAACGTCATATCTCCGCCGCTCTAAAAAATCTTGGAGATAATCTCACCATGGTCAACGGCGAAGTTATGTCGCTTTGAAACGTCATATCTCCGCCGCTCTAAAAAATCTTGGAGATAATCTCACCATGGTCAACGGCGAAGTTATGTCGCTTTGAAACGTCATATCTCCGCCGCTCTAAAAAATCTTGGAGATAATCTCACCATGGTCAACGGCGAAGTTATGTCGCTTTGAAACGTCATATCTCCGCCGCTCTAAAAAATCTTGGAAATAATCTCACCATGGTCAACGGCGAAGTTATGTCGCTTTGAAACGTCATATCTCCGCCGATCTAAAAAATCTTGGAGATATGACGTTTCAAAGCGACATAACTTCGCCTTCGATCTTGGCGGATTCTACGGACCTTCCCGAGTAGCCCCTCCTTTTTTGGCCCCTATCGGGCCGAGACATGACCATTTAAAGTTTTCCAAAAAAGAACGTGTAGTTGTGGACACGATATTCACGACACATTCTCGCCATGATCAACGGCGATATTATGTCGTTTTGAAGCGACATGAAGCAGTGGTATGTTAACTAACATTGGCTTAACATCACACTGTTAAATAACAGCAGCTTAACAGTGAACTGTTAAGAAACTTGCAAGTCATTATTTTTGCTAAAAAATTTCTGTGCAGCTACCTGCTGGGCATTTCTGTTCGCCTGGTATTTCAGTTCAATTTTGATTTTAAAAGTGGAAACCATCGGCCGGGCCCAGTGAAGGGGAATTAATAAACCTTAATTTATTTGTAGATAAAGCTTTAAAGCGATTTTTGCTAGGATTTGGAACTATAGATTCGCCAGGACTCTATCCATGGTATGGAAAACCAAGGATACATGCGTCTTCTAGGAATCATGGAGTGAGGAGAGGGCGGCTGAAAGAAAACGCATACATTCATGTTTCAGGAACATTTCCGAGTGAATTTCGCACGGATTTGGAACTGTACGTTCACCAGGACTCTATCAATGATATGGTAAAACCAAGGATATATGGGTCATCTGGGAACCTATTTTTATTTTTTGTTCGGCCAGGACTGCGACAGATTTGGCTGAAATGCAATTTCGTCGTAGTTCAGACTTTTTGACCGATGCCATCGACTCTGTGAAATACAGATAACGCCATGACAAATTCTTTTTCGTAGTGTTTAGTCAAATATGTATATGCAAATATATATCAAACAGCAAAAACGGATTTTAGAAAATAAACGATCGATAGCATACTATGAAAAATAATGTAATTTTCATTTGGGAAATATCGATATACCATGTTGCTATTGCTGTGCCAGCTTATTGGTTATCCATGGCATGTAGTTCGCAACCTTTACACCAACAATTGTAACGCAGTCTCTTATGCCCACATTGATAATTCCAAACTGCACAAAACGTTCTGTTCCGGGATATTCAACCGAACTACTTAATGGAGCGCCAGATATACCGATGCAGAGGACGGGTTTCTTAAGGACACACAAATCGTCGTTCACAACAGGTCTGAAATGAGCAATATTTTCTGTACATTTTTTCCGACCTTCGATAGAAGTATCCACTGCTGTCTCCCGCAAAATAGTCTTTTTAGTATCGTCGTGCTCGTCTGCGCCCCAGCGTTGCCAGAGTTTCCACTTGTTGTTGCAGGGTTGCATTCACTGGCAAGCAGATGGGACTGATGTGATCTGGGAATAAATCAGTTATTTAACTTTGAATAGTAAATATATGTTAACGTATAAACTAACCTTGAAATTTAACCTTTTTGGAGAGCTTTAGTAGAGCTATATCATTTGCGTAATTTTCATTAAATGTAAAATGTTCGTGCACAATCACCGTTTCGATACCAAATCTTTCAACTGCCGGCAAGCAATTGTTTCCGTTCGAGTTCTTAGATTTGAAACAATCCTCATCAGTTAATAGATTGTTGTTGCCCAAGGTCACAGATTCTCTGTTATAATAAAAAGAAGCCTTGAGCTGTTTTCTTCATCTATTATTTGGGAGATCCTTAATAGGCTTACTTACAACTCAACTTTCGAAGCACAATGCGCAACAGTTAACACGAATTCTGTATATAAAAATGTGATTGAAAATTGAATAGTAAGCTTTCAATTTAAAGTTGTGCCAGTAGTCACTTACGATCCGTTATAAGAGTCCCAATACAATAATATGGACTGATCGTATCGTTATTCTTAATTAGTGCCATCCAGGGTCTCGATCCGGGAATAACTTCAGTTGCATTCCCTATTAAGCGAACATTTTTGCCGATGCCACAATTCTGTTGCTCCAGTATACGCAGTCCATCCGGATTTATCTCTAATTAAGCAATCGATTAGATGTCATACAGATAGATTTATTAACTAACCCGTAGTTGCGCAGATAGCAAACAGTCCGACATGAAATAATATTAACTTAGTAGACCTCATGCTAGAACTGATTAACAGCCACTGCCGCACATTTACAGATTGAGCTGGGCTTTATAGCGTCAGATGTGACAAGTAGGTGTAATTCATTACAATATATTGGCATCAAAATAACTAGTTTTTGAGTTCAAGTGAATCGCAAGCACGACGACGAGTTGCACATGTAATAATAAACTAGTACTTCAGTTGTCTAGGCTTTACTTTTGCTGGCGCCACCTGGTGGCATACGAGAGAATGTGCTTCATGCTGGGCCTTGGTTTGAGAAAAACAAAATTGTTTTGCGTTTCTGCTGCGCCACCTAGTGGCAAGTAGTATAACAGTGCATAGCTCAACAGCCTACAAAATTGTATTTCTTAAAATACATTATAAGTAAACAAAATAATTAGAATAGTATTAAGTAGTAGCTAAGTAGAAACTCGTAGCATAATAATCACATCTCAATCGCCTTGACATATAACATTAATCATAAGATCTCAATGAATCGGCAACATATGTTATAAACAAAAACTAAAATAAATAAAACGAGAAAACAACAAATAAATAATATATGAATATTGAAATTTGCACAAAAGCAGAGTCCATTGCTTTGTTTTTTTTTTTCATCTGTATTCACCTGGGGGCTGTAACCTTGAAAAGCACGGGAGTTGAAAGCGTTCTGGCAGAGCCAGTTGAAAGAACTCCCACACAAAAAAAAAGAAAGAAAAAAAAAAGAAAAACGTTACGTTTCTCGCATTCTGATGCTTGCGAAGCGAGTGCAGTAAAAAAAGATCAACAGGAAACAGGCCTAAAATTGTTTAAGCAATTGTCAAGCCCTTGCCAGCTATGCATATGCAATTTTACTATAAAAATGTCATTTCATTGCGGCACCGAATCCATTCAATTATTTATTGGCAGAGCAATGAAACTTTTGCTGCGAAGCAGGCACTCAGCCAGGAAGGCACAAGACGATGCGCATCTCCCGAAGGCAGCTGCAGCGGCAAATGCTAGCACGGATCGTAGAGCCGAGTTGGGAGCTTTTGCTGGTGCAAAGACATCCAAGGAATCTGAACGGGAGGCAGCCAGAGCAGCTGCAAACATTGAATCAACTCACATTTGAATGAAGATAGAGGAAACGAAGCCAATTGACAGACGATTAGTTGTTAACAGGTTGTCGGAAAAATGGGTTAGCTATAAGATATATTATACTAGCTTATAAGGCATTTACATACGTGTTTAATAAATCGAAACTAGTTTTTTAAAAACATTATATACTATACATATATATGGGCGATATCGCGCACGACTGAGTTCTTGCTATAAAACAGTCGCGATTCGTGGCAATTCCCAAGATATCTGACGATATGCCAGTTATTGCACTAATTGCGGTCGCTGGGGAAAAGCGCAATGTTAGTAAACAAATAATTAAAATTATATGCAAAAATTGGAATCATAAATGCAAGCCTGCTTATTTCCTATCAAAACTGGTTTTGCTTCCAGAACGCCTTATCAGTATTTAGTTTGAAATATTCTCATTATAACAAATACATTTATTTTTATATATATATATATGTATCAATAAACATTATACTAAGGTAATTTGTGTGTTTGATTAAGTACAAAGGAGGTATAACTAAGTTTGCGGCATTACTGCATGACTCGTCTGGGATGTAAATAGTTGGAGCCAGGATCATCGTCCTGCCGATAGATGGCGCTCATAACGATAAGCAGGCTGGCAATCGCAAAGGCGCGCACAACAAACTCGAATGCGCGATAACGATAACTGCGTTTGCAATCGGCCATTGTTCTAATATTTTATACTTTAATTTAGATATATACACGATCTATACAGAGTTAGATATGTAGACAATTGTGTGCACTAATCAAGCGTAGGAATTGAACTAACAATGTTAAGAACTCAACTCAACACTTTTATTGTAAGCGCGGGCTGTGTGCTTCTGTGTGTGTGTGTGTGTGTGTGCGCGCGCATGTATAAGTGTGTTTTACCCACAGAGCAAGATTACTTACAGAGAATTCGCGGAGAAAACCCGAACGCTCTGAAAGTGATCTCCGCTGGCAATTCCCGCTCTGCAGATCTTTAAACAGTGCCTCAATATGAAATCGTCATGCAAATTATTTTTTTGGCATACGTGAGGCGAATGAAAAACTTAAGAGTCGAAATTGCGGCGCAAAATATTCTTGGCTTTTGGGCGAACACAATGTTGTCATTCGCCAGATGACGCTGTCATTAGTTGTGATTTGGACTGCTCTTAAACGGGGCAAAGATTCCTTTCCACAAATCTGCAGCAAACAGAAAGAGAACTGAGCGAGCTGTGCGCCACATAGTCTAGCGTCTGGCACTTACCGCAAATAGCGTTGAAAATGGGGCAAATGGCAAAAACGAGAGACTTTGCCAAGCACGCGCTGTGGCAACTGCAACATGTGCAACGCCGGAGCCAGCAACAATTGCTTCAATTGCGGCATTCTCGCAGCTAGTTGGTTATGTCCCTTCGAAGGCGCGCCTCAAACTGAGCCCAAAACTCAAAATGCGCCCAGGTAAGGAAAACCCAACCAGGTAGCTAACAACAATGAATGAAGCAGAAAACTGAGCATATTGAGGTAGGTTCCACCCCGACCTTTCAACTCGCAGCTGCCGATGGCAGATTCTCGCGAAAAACCAAAGATACCAACAAAATAACAAACAAAAGGACAACTCGAGAATATTTTTGGATATCAGAGATGACATATAGGGTATGCTTTCTACAATCTCAGCCAAAGAATAATCTTCTAAGTGCATTGAACTTGGCATACGCACATCGCGCTAAATATAGGCTCCACAGAGCCAAGGGCTGTTTAGTTCCGCTGCGACTCCAAATCTGCCACTTCCTATGTAGCTATAAATAAAAATACACAGCCGTGGCGCCCCATCCTATAGGATCAGACACGCGACGCATCAGCCGGCTGGTGCCTATATGTATATTTAGCAGAGTAGAGTCAGAGAGAGTCGAACTTGGATGCTGGCACTGGGAAGGAGGCCAGTGCAACGTGCAGCGTCATGGAATGCAGAAGCGTGTCCGTTCTACCAACCTATGCACAATCATGGTGCGTTAGTGAATTCCTTTCTTTGGAGTGTAATCTTTTAATTTTGGTTTGTTGTTTTGCAGCTCGCACAACAGCGACTCGAAGAAGGCTTCGCTGTGCCAAGCTCTGTTTCCCTATAAGACGTTCAGCGAACCCGACCCGGTCACCATACTCATCACCTTGGCTGTGCTCGTTGGCTCCTTTTGCCTGCTCAGCGGGTTCATACTGCTCTGTGTCGTATCCAAGGCGTGGCAGGATGAAACATCCGAGGCCATACTACTAATGGGTAAGTCGAGCTTATCGTCTGTCGTAGATTTGAACTGAGAATTCCCAATTTCAGGCATTGGCTTTTTCATTACATCTATGTCCTGTGTCACTTGGAAATTGACGAATGCGCAGCGTTTGGCTCAGTTACAGGAAACCATTTCAATATAGGCTTACATAAATTTATATATATGTATATATATCCATATTAATATATTCGATATTCACATAAAACCGTCAACTAATTGGCGATTATTTTATCGGCTATCCAGCGCATATAGCTGCCAACATTTGTGTACACCCCGGGATACCCATCACCACAATTAGTCGAACCGTAGCTTACTATACCGAACTGCACGTACCTTTGCTTCTCGTTATATTCGCTCAAGTATAATAAAGGACCACCAGAATCGCCATTACAGGAGTCCTTGCCAAGGTTACCAGCACACAGCTGGGATTTTCTTATATCCGTATAAAAGGATCTTTGGCAGTCTTCGCGAGGCTTGTTAGGGATTTTGCTCTCCATGGGAATATCAGACAACAATTCATGTTCAGTTTTGCCCCAACCAGTTATATGGAACTCTTCCATTCCTTCCGGTTGTTGTTGGAGTGTTGCATTCACAGGCAAGCAGATGGGCCTAATATGTCCTGTGCCATACAAATCGATTAAGAACTTAAAGAACTTGTTTTAATTAAAAAAAAAACATACGTTTAAACTCCACGTCTTTTGATAGCTTTACCAATGCTATGTCGTTGTGCTTAGATTGTTGCGAGTAATCCTCGTGCACAATGATCCCTTCAAACAAAAAATCCTCAACTGGCAGCGCGCATATATTTCTTGATTTCTCCCAAGCGCAGTCTCTTGTAGTGGATATCGCGTGTTCCCCCAAACGAACATATAATCTATGGTATAATTGTTGTAAGAAATGCGCGCATGATAATCAAAATTACTTACAATTCTTGACTATTGAAACAATGCGCAGCGGTTAGTACAAAACCTGTGAATTTGATTAATTTAAAGATCATATTGTATGTGTAATAGACAGGTTCTTACGTTTTGTTATTAGGGTACCGGCACAAGTGAACTCATCATGCCCGAGCTTTCTAAACATAAGTAGAGCCATCCAAGGTCTTGACATTAATTTAACTTCGGTTCCGCCGATTGTCTTTAATGTTCCACCAAAGTATCCACAGTCCTGTTCCTTCAATAGTGTCATTCCCGCACTCTCCTCTTCTTCGCAGCAGGCAAAACCCTATGGGATGAAAGAAATTCGTAATTTTCTGCTTTAATAATTTGCAATCGAAATTTATACAAACCTTTTTAGGTATGGGACATTTTGAATTCGATAAGTAGTTTAGTTCAACAGCCGTAAGCGGTTTGTGTCGGATAATTTCTAAAATCTTGGGACAATTTCTAAAAGGCCTACAATATCCAGAAATTCCATCGCGTCTGGTACAACTTTCATCTTGAAAAAAGCATGTAATTCTTAAGAGTGAACATATATGTATGTATAAATGTATATATACTAACATGAGGTATCGGCTATAGAAGGCATACAAGCTGACGCCACACAAAGGGCGAGAGCAAAGCCACGGATAACTTTCATTGCGAGTGGCTGAAAAAAATTTGACTAACTAAAAATCTTGAACGACTGGCCCTTTTAAAGGTTCAACATATTTTCAACACACTGGCTTATCAAGGAATGAGGTTTTGCATGATTTCTTGGAAATATAACACTCAATAAATATTATATCCGAGAACATTTGTTATATCAAGAAATGCACCCCAAAGTATATTTTGTATATTATGTTTTGCAGCTCAGTTGGTTATTAATAGAAATGTTTGATAAGAATTTCCTGGTCTTTTGATAAATTTGTATACGTTGAGCTCGTTGTATTAGAAGTTATAATAAATGATATATTATAATTACAAAACTTCCATGTAAAATTGCAAATAATAATTTAAATTTTAGGCGCTTTAGGATCCCAAGTGCATTGGAAGTTGCGATTAATCCAGCTCATTGGCAGCATCTTTGTGCTCAGCGGCAAGCGCTAAAAAAATATAAAGATAAAGCTGCGCATTGAGGCAGGTTGCGTCCACAACTTTCTACTCTCAGCTGTCAATAGCAGAATTAGACGACAAACTGCCCGCCCCTGTCAGAGAATATTCATCCACATGACGTCAAGCTTGTGGTCCTCGGTCCTCGGTAAGTGCATTGAACCACATACGTACAGGCGGCTAAATAAAAACCAACCAGATCAAACCCTTGTTCAGTTCCGCTGCGATTCCATATCTTCCTATGCAGCTATAAATATACAACCGTCGCGCGCCATCCGATAGAACCAGACACTGGCTGGTGCCTATTGTATACTAAGAGAGAGACGACTGAGACGAATGCGCAGCGCTTGGCTCAGTTACAAGAAACCATTTCGATATAGGCATAATAAATTTATTTCCATACATATATATATATATATTCGATATCCACATCAAGCCGCCAACTAATTGGAGATTATTTTATCGGCTATCCAGCGCATATAGCTGCCAACATTTGTATACACCCCGGGATACTCATTACCGCAATCAATCGAGCCGTAGCTAACTATACCGAACTGCACGTACCTTTGATTCTCGTTATATTCGCTCAAGTATAATAAAGGACCGCCAGAGTCGCCATTACAGGAGTCTTTGCCAAGGTTACCAGCACATAATTGGGATTTCCTCACTTCTGATACAAAGAATTTTTGGCAAACGTCGCGTTGCTTTTTTAGGATAGCGGTTTCCTTAGGATCATCAGAAACGAGTTCCTTTTCGGTTTTGCCCCAACCAGTTACATGGAACTCTTCCATTTCTTCCGGTTGTTGTTGGAGTGTTGCATTCACAGGCAAGCAGATGGGCCTAATATGTCCTGTGGCATAAATATAATATTAATCGATTAAGAACTTGAATAACTTGTTTAATAAAAACATACGTTTGAACTCCACGTCTCTTGATAGCTTTACCAATGCAATGTCATTGTGTTTAGATTGTTGCGAGTAATCCTCGTGCACAATGATCTTTTCAAACGATATATCCTCAACTGGCGGCGCGCATATAAGTCTTGATTTCACCCAAGCGCAGTCTGTTGTATTGGATATTTTGTGTTCCCCCAAACGCACAAACATTCTATGGTATAATATTTATAAGAAATATTCGCATGATAATCAGGAAATAATTACAATTCTTGCCGATTGAAACAATGCGCGGCGGTTAGTACAAAGCCTGAGAATTAGAATGAATTGGATTGTTTTAAAGATCATATTATTTATTATAATAGACAGGTTCTCACGATTTGTTATTAGGGTGCCAGCACAATTAAATTCCTCAGTCCCGTTATATATAAACATAAGTAGAGCCATCCAAGGTCTTGACATTAATTTAACTTCGGTTCCGCCGATTGTCTTTAATGTTCCACCAAAGTATCCACAGTCCTGTTCCTTTAATAGTGCCATGCCCGCACTCTCCTCTTCTTCGCAGCAGACATACTATTGGATAGAAGAAACTCGCATTTTTGAGCTTTAAAAAATTCGCAATCGATATCTATACAAACCCTTCTATTTATAGGACATTTTGAATTCCTTAAGTAGTTTGATTCAACGATCGTATGTGGCTTGCGCCGGATCATTTCAAAAATCTTAGGACAATTTCTTAAGGGCTTACAATGTCCAGAAAGTCCATCTTGTCTGGTACAACTTTCATCTTGAGAAAACAATGTTATAGTCATATTTAAGAATGAACATATATATACTAACACGTCTCAACGGCTATAGAAGGCAGAAAAGCTGACGCAACACAAAGGGCGAAAGCGAAGGCACGGATACTGTTCATTGCGAACGGGTAAACAAAATAGCACTGACTAACAGTCCCTATCGACTGGGTCTTATAAGGCACTGGCTTATCAATAATTTCTACTGTACATTTTAAAAGTTACTGTATTATTATTGTGCATCATATCAATGAAGTCAATAATGGCTTGGTATAGGAAATAATGATGACAAATGGGATAGTTCAGTTCTGTTCAGTTGGCCTGCACTGTACAGTATATTTGTGTTTTGCAACAACTGACTTTATATAAAAGAAATGTTTGATACGAAATTTCTGGAATTGATTAACATTTGCATCCGGGGAGCTCGCCATATAACCACTGCTTAGAATTTCAGGCTGCCCGTGGTCTTGTAGAAGTCATCGACCTCCTTGGACGAATTAAGCACACACATATGGACCTCATTGCACTGAGTCGTGCCAAAGTCATAGTCTCCAAAACGTTTAAGGATCTCACGTGCGTCGAAAGAGTCGCGATCATTCTTGTTTAGTTTCTCACTACGATAACGACAGTTCAGTACCGTCATGTGAAGCTTAATGCTGTCGCGTTTGTTGTTGTCGGTGGCACAGAGGCCGGTGGTTTGGAAATGCTTCAGGCATTTGTCAGCAAACTGCTGCAGCTCTGGTGCCTCCACAGTACCGTATAGCACTTTGGTCGAGCTGGGATCATCGTTCATAATTTCCAGCCCTTTTACTTTTATCTCAAAGGGCGTTTTTAAATCGACCAGCCATTGCCGGCAGGTTTGCAGCATATTAACGGCTTCTTTGCGTTCAGCGTCATCCAGGAGCACATAGACGCCCAAGGTGATATGGATGCAGCGCTCTGATATGAATAGCTTCTGGTCGATGCCTGGCAGCTGTGCATCTAAAATGCTTTGCTGTGGTACAGGGTTAAGGGATTTCACATATGATTAAACCTACGTTTACCTTTAGCTCGATGAAACGATTCTGCACTTCGCCCTTGTTTAATGGAACAGCCAGAAAATGAGTTGCCTTCATGCGCTTGCGCAGCGAATCAATGAGTAGCCGTATTTTGCGAAGAGCAGCACACACATTGCTGCGTTCGCTAGACTGGATAAGTAAATCACTAGACGCCTCATTGTGGCGAGGCACGTAAATCTCCGTCTGAGTTTCAGATTCAATGCGACGCTTCGTGGAGCCCTTGAAGCCAATCAGGCCACCATAGAAGGATCTGCAGGTCCACATAGTTTATTTGAATCACATTAAGCTCAACTACTATTTCGGCACTTACTTGGGCACATGCAGCGCCAGTTTGTAGCTGCCATTGGGCAGCTCCTCAATATTACATTCGGCGCTATCCTCCTCGTAGTCGTCATCGGCGTATAGATCTAAAAATGCATTTCACAATATGCTGACAAACAGGAAAAACTTATGCTTTTATATTTACCGGGTTCTTCGTAGCCTTTGATAGCTTTCTCATTGGCCGAGTTCCACTTGCTGCCACCAAAATCGTCGTGAACAATGTTAACGCGATAGTTTCGATTGTGGCTCATTTGTTGAGTCGGAGGTGCTAAGACATTTCGGCTCATTTTTGCAACAAAATATGTTAAAAATTGTCGATTGTCTTATTTGCAAAACTCAAATATTGAAATTGTTTTGAATTGCTTATGTCAGTGATGAGCTTTCATTCGATAACTTTAGTAATATCGTCGTAATTGTGTCGATAACAGTTTGCTTCAATTGGATTTAAATAAATTTAAATTAAGTGGAAACTGTAATAAATGTTAGTGTATTAATATATAAAAAATTAATGTTCAATTGCAACAAGCCGTCTTTTTATAACACTAAGCAAAGCAAAATCATCAGATAATCTGGGAAAATACATAAATTGAACTTTTTTGTTTTATGTCAGTGATGAGCTTCCTTTCGATAACTTTAGTGCTGTCGTGTCGTTTGTGTCATTTTCAGTTTGCCTAATTCTAAATGCATTTAAGTTAAGAGGGAACTGTAATAAATGTTAAAGCATTAATATATAAAAATTAATCCACCTGCAACTATTTTTTGTGTACAAAAATAAAAAATTTATGTCCAATTCCAACAAGCCGTCTTTTTATAACGGATATTAGTGAGCAAAATCATCGCAGCACTCACGAGCTTCTTTGAACGCTACTAGTTCCAGTTCCGGAACGTATTTAGTTCACACGTGCTAGAATCGCTTTCAATGTTATTGGTAACTGTTGCAATATTTGTTAACAGAAACCTGCCATCATGTCTGCGGCAACAGCCAATAGTCGAAATACCAAAACTGCGGAGCCGCACAAATCATGGAAAAAGATCAACGAGGAGCGAAAAGCATTGAAACGTCAGCGAAAACAGGACAAAGCGCTCAAGGACCTACAGAGAGTTCAAGAAGCAGAAGCTGCTACCAAGGAGGCCACAGATGCAACAAAAGCAGCTAAGGCTAAGCCACATCCATCCACAGTGAGCATAGCAGTGCCGGGCTCCATACTGGAAAATGCACAATCCGCCGAGCTGCGCGCCTATGTTGCTGGCCAAATAGCGCGCGCTGCCTGCATATTCCGTGTCAACGAGGTGATTGTCTTTGACGATGTGGGCGTGGCGACGGCGCGTGAAACAAAACGTAGCTATGAGCAGGATGCGGAGGGAAATGGCACAGCCACAGTGCGCAGCAGCTCGTTACAGTTGGCGCGCATCCTACAATATCTTGAGTGTCCACAATATCTGCGCAAATACTTCTTTCCGCTGCACAAAGACTTGAAGTACTCGGGCCTGCTTAATCCGCTGGACACGCCGCATCATCTGCGCCAGCAAAGCAAGTTTCAATATCGCGAGGGCGTCGTCTGCGACAAACAAGCCAAGGATGGTCACAGCTATGCAAATGTGGGCCTGCTGAACGATGTGCTCATCGACAAGGCCCTAGATCCAGGTGTGCGGGTCACAGTCAAAATGGATCCACCAAACGGTAGGTGTCCTAATTTTCAACAAAACTGATTGTGATTTAAATGAATGACTGCTTTCCATTTAGAGACCAGTCGGAAACAACGCGGAACATTGGTCAGTCCGGACGAGCCGCGTCGGGAGACGGGCGTCTATTGGGGCTATCAGGTGCGGATTGCACATTCGCTCTCCGAAATCTTTACGAAATCGCCCTATGCCGGCGGCTATGATGTGACTATCGGGACTTCTGATCGCGGCGCCAGCGTGCATGATGTGCCCAGCAAATCCATTGAGTACAATCACATTCTCATTGTATTTGGCGGCCTGCAGGGTCTCGAAGAGGCGCTGGCCAACGACGAGAAGCTGACAGTGGACGAGCCCGAGCTGCTCTTTGATCACTATGTGAATGTGCTGCCCAAACAGGGCTCACGCACCATACGCACCGAGGAGGCGCTGCTCATAGCGTTGGCTGCCCTGCAGGAGAAACTGCAGCCACAGCATGCGGATGTGGAGAGCGATCTGAGTGAACTGTTGCCGCGCAGCGAACAGACAGGCTTCCCGATGGCACGCGATGTGCTCGTAAGCAAGAAAAAGAAGAGAAAACATGACGAGACGCCTGCAGCAGCACACGATACGCCAATGCAGCCATTGTCAGCATCAGCTGACAAACCAAGTTTAGCTCTAATGCATCCAAATCCGTTTAATGATCGTGCAGCAGAAGCGGCTGCCATCGAGACCGATTTCGAGGTGGTGCCAGCCACAGTGCCCGCAGCAGTTGTCGCTCCGAGCGCAGCCAGTGACGAGGATTTAAGTCGATTCGATTGAGATGCTCTCGATTTTAGTTAGTTCTTATAGTATATACTTTTTCTGTTTGATTTTTACTATATTAACTATATTGTACTGCTCCACGCTTAATATATATATATATGTACTATATGTAGATGACATGGCAATGCTCTGTATATTGGTATATTAGTTGCGATATCTACCCGCATATTTTGTTCGTAACATTTTCACTTAATAATCTAGACAAACAAATTTACGAAATATTGTTTTCCGATATTGGGTTTTATACAATACGCGAATCTGTGTCGGAATGTGTGGCAGCGTTTGATTTATGCCGAGAAGCAACTACATAGGCATTTTATAGGCATTATTCAGTCACTTGCACTGTCAAGCATAAGACACAAAGAATTTGATAACAATGGTGCGCCTATCGTACAATTTAACAATAATGTTTCTCATTAAACTTAATATACAAACTAGTACAAAATATATATATATGTATAGATTTATATATTGTATACCCCCTATAGACTAGACGCGTGCCGTGGCCAAAGGCTGGCTTATTTAAAACTCTATATGTAATACGTGGCCACATTATCGCCAGTCATTATTAGCTATGGAATAATTGAGTCCTGAAAGCGCGCCTCTGGCAGGAAGTCCTCCTCCAGCTCGATGCGCGTATCGCTATGATAGCCCAGCAGCGATTCGGTATCCTCCTCAAGATGTCGTATGGGATAGCTAATGCCATCGCCAAAGCTGAACAATTTGTATTAAGCATAAAATATTGGAACGAAATTTCAAAATGCAATACAAATAGAAATCAAATTGAGAATTCTTTTCGAATTAAATTTCATTCATTTTGCATGAATATAAAAGTGATGTTTGTTTGTGTGTGCGTGTGTGCTCGAAATGGACATGTGTGAAAGGAGGCTGATGCGGTGCAATAGAAGAAGCAGAGATGAACAAAGTTCAGGAGGACAATTAAAAAACGTACCTGTGCTTATTTCGTGTGCACATACATGTACTTTTATATAATATATATTTGTCATTAGCTTTTTTTATATTATTTACCTGAATACAAAAGTTTGTCGTATAAAAAATTAAAAACTAGCGAACTATCTAAAAAAAAATGAAGAAGCGCAAAATAGAAAGAAACTTGCAATAAACTTGAAACCAAACTAACTACGTTATTTAGAATTATAAAAGCATCAAAATGCGTTACAATTTCAAATTCATTCGTTTGTGTATTATTATGGGCTGTGTTCGGATATGATCCTAACTAAAAATGATTTTCGTTTGTTTTGGTATTAAAGTCTCATGACCGTTAAAACAATGGGACACGAGCTGTGTTTAAATGCTAATTGACCAATATTTAAGAGTTCAACAGTTATTGCTAAT